ACAAACACAGGGTGGATGATGTATGTATGCCAATCACGTGGTCTCTCCCCACACCACTTTCTCTTTTCCTCTTTCTGTGCGCTCCACCTTCGGTAGAACATTTGCAAATAAATGTCAAAAGCTATTAGAACACATCCTAATTTCCTCCTGAAGCAAAAGCACACATGCACTTAAAGAACTTCTGCTAATCGTCCACAGTGCTGTTCCAAGTTTTTAGCTATTTTAAGTGAGCAAGCATGCACTGCTCGAAAGAGTGTGACAACTTCTCTCTCAAGTTCCTTACTTAGACATGCAGATTTTATACTGCTCTGCTGTTTTGCACTGACACCAAATCCGGTTAGAGTGGTATAACAATCCAAGCAGGGTGATCTTCTCTTCTCTGTCTTCAAGCAAAAGCCGCAAGAAAGAACAGGCAATTCCAGAAGAATGATGGATTTGTGGCCAGATTGTGTGCCAAGGCTGACCTCTCATAGCCTTTCCTCTCTGTGATTTGTTTTCGGGAGAGCTCTGAGCACTTTCAGCAATCAACCTCAAAGCTATGGCGTTCTTCACTTGGATTGGGGATTATCCCGGTCAGGTCCAGATTGCGCAGTGACAGGCTTTAGAGGAGCATCCAGTGAGGTTGACTCCCTGGTGTGTGACTGAACAAGGGGGGTTAAGGGGCTAGTGACTGACCAATCCCAACCAATGGGAACACATAAAACCAGTTTACCAAAGAGTAAATATGTTTGGCGCTTATAGAATTGATTTTGACATTTCCAGTCAGGTATGAGAAACGTTTCTTTGCTATATAATCAGTTAGCTATTCTTTTGTTTTTTTAGCTATTTCTTTTTCAGTTGTATTCTTTAATCCCTTTCCGTCTGTGTTTTCCCAATCTCTGACTGTGTGCTGTGACCTGTAGTTTGAGTCAAACTGAGGTTGGAGTACTTGGCAGTGACTTCCTGTTTGGACAGGAAGTCTAGTCTTTCTCTCTTCCTCCCTTGTGTTTACTGCAATAGTCTGCATATCACCGACACGTCCTTTTTCTGCAAACCCCTCTGTCTTCCGCCTGTGTCTAAGGTAAAAACTGAGAGCAGCTGTCTCCTGCTCTAATCCCCTCCCTTTATCCTAATCTCATTACAACAGGGCAATTACAACTCACAGTTAATTAGAAGAAAACAAGTAAAGAAGATACTCTATTGAGTGTCACAGACTGACAGCAGATCATACGCATCATTACTAATGATCTGTTGAGTTGTCGGATGTCAGTCACAGGGTGGCAATTGAACCAGTGACCTAAACCACTATAAAAAGTCTCTAATTCACAGACTGGTGGTGCAGTACAGTGCAGAGGAGTATTTTATTGATACCCTGTGAGGCCTTCACAGTTTATATCAGCTAGAGCCACAGGGCATACACACCTTCACACTCTCTTTGTGTTCCTTCGGTATCTCTCTCACACATAAATCATACCTGATTGGATTCCATCCACTTCATTGACCTCAGCGTGTTTCTGTGGACAAAACAAATCTTCACCCTGTTGGAAAAAAGCAGACTGTCACTCTATAAATACATCATTAATCCCCAAAAAGTACCAACAATATTCTGTAAGTGGTTTCTTACAGTAAAGTCTGAGATGGACTGTGAGTCACTGTCTGCCAGCAGATCCTCCCCTGCACTGAACACAGAAAGAATGTATTGAGATGCTTAGACAATCAAATAGCAATAGCTAAAAAGTCTCAGAGTTTATTGAGGAACACACAAACACTCCATTTACCTGCAGCTATGTTTCCTACATCTGCCAGACAGATGTAGGCAACACACTAACTGTATATACCGTATGTTGGGCTGATCAGTATTACACAAAAAATACGTATTTTTTCAGTCCAGTACATATCCATTTACTTTACTGTACCTCTACTTCACAGTACCCACACAATATTCATACAGTGTCAGTGCCATTTCAAAGAAATGGTGTGATGCTTGTTTTTGACTGAAAGAATATTCACATGCATAGTTGTCTGAGTTCAGGTTGATGGATTATGGCTTTGAGCTGACAAATATATCTGAACAGTTTCATCATGTATGGTTTCATACAATCAGCCAAGCTTACAGCATCTTTGAATGACACCTCACTAACCACTGTGTTTTTCCATCGCTGTATTCAGGTCAAACTAAACACGCAGGCTGATGCAGGAGACAAGGTAGCATTGTAGATATTTGTAAATGTATAATACTTACGAAGAGAGTAAAGATAAATCAAGATTATCAAATTCTCTGAAGATCTCACTGTATCGCTTGGTTTCAGATTTACGAGGCACCTTGTTCACATCTGAAATGAGAAACAGATAAGCTAAGATACATAAAACAATAAGATGGCCCTATGTTACCCAGAACACCATTGTAGATTTGAGATCCTGAAATGTGATCCTGTGATAAACACTGTGTAAACTTTAAGGCCAAAACCAGTCTTTAACAGCTGCTCTGAAGAAACAAAGGGAATATTAAATTTATAACAGCATACGCAAACAGAATGTAGATCACTATATAAGACAATCCTAAAAAAATATTTTCAGAATGCCACAAGACAAACAGAAATATACAGGTTGGAAACGGCCATGAATAAGACATGTAGATCTGACCTCATTTCTAGTGGTTAATTGTCATGTTTATAATGTGGTTATTGTACAGTATTTAATTTCTGCAATCCTACTTAGGTGTTCACCAAAAAGCATCAGCTAAATGCCTGACATACAACATAATAATACTTTAAAAAAACAAGCATTAAGATAAATGATTCTGCTAAAACAATAATGAATAAAGAAAATAAATCAAACTTAGTTCCACTCCTGAAGTCATATCTAACACAGCTTTCCTTTACATTACTGAGAAAAAATGTTTGACTAAATTTAATACCTACAATGAGGAACAGTGAGGTGCTTTTTAATAACAAAACTTCAACCTTTTGTGCCCCCACTGTTTAACTGATGTTTCACTATGGGGCATACCACAGCGTTTTAAAATGTTGATTTACAGCAGATGCAACAAAGGAGAAAGAGCAATCTTTCTCTCTCTCCGAGACACCTCCATTTTGGTCAACCACATCCTGCTTGCAATTTGTGTCATGTCCCATGAACATAGAGTCCTTGTTTTTCACACCACTATGACAGTGTTTCAGTATAAAAATGAGAATTGAAAAGCAAGTAAGATGTTTCAACAAAGCTAAAACACTAATCACTAATTTTTGTTTGCTATATACCTACAATACTTGTAATTACACTATTTCACATTCATACATTTAAGTCACATTGAACAGGCTCCTGATAGCAGCATATTGCAAACATTTTTAGTTTTATCAACAGTCAATAAGTTAAAATCTCAATAATATTTTAAGGTAATATTCTATTTTTGTCTTTTTGCTAAAAAAGTGCTAAAAACACAGAAGTCAGACAAAAAACAAGGCCGAACAAGATGTGTAAAAATGGACAAAGAATTTCACCAATCCTTCTTCGAATAGGAAGGTGACACACAGCTCTACAAAACTCCTGATAGACACATTTCCGAAGAATATTCAGGCACATTGTTGATACAGTATATGCATGCACACACACATGCAATACCTATGTCACAATGGCACTACAGCAATGTCAGCATATATCCAAACAGCACACAGCAAGAGAATATTCATCCATTTTACAAACAAATTAAGAAATATACATTCATAGCAAAGGGTTTTGAAAACAAATGAATGAAAAATATTTATACAAATTTAAGCATAATGGGTAACATATCCTATATCATTCTTTGTGCTCACCTGTTGCTTGAGAGGAATCCTGGTTAGGCACTTGATCTTCTTCCATTTCTACAGATCACCACAGAAGCAGGCCTCTACTAACACCACACACACATCATCTGCTGCCCTTAAGGTCACAGTACAGTACACTAAAGATACGTGTAGTTGAGTAGGCAGGAAACCCGCACTGCAGACAACTCTTGCTAAGTTTTTGGCATACAGCTAATCTGAGCTTGCTGACGTTCGTGCTCGAAAAAGGATCTTTCTCTGGTAGAGTGGAGGTTGGCCAACGTTTTTACCACCATAAAAGAGGAAGTGTCTTTTGCTGTCACTGTAGACCCCACCTACGCTGTCACGCAACACATGCTGAGAAGGTGCCACTGTGTTTAGATTGCACTGTCTTTGTAAAAAAAATAATGGCTGACCTCCCTGGATAAATAACATATATTTAATATATTTAATGTTGACAAATTACAGATATGTGACCTTCATAACAGATATTTGACCTTGATAGTGGCAGGTATAGGTCGGACAAGCCAGCTGATACTTCATCTACATAACATCAGAATAAATAACTTGGTCAAATCAAGTTCTTTACTTAATTGGTGAATGCGCTCATACCAGAGAGAATTGAGTTGTTCTGTATACTCTGTGACCCCCATACAGTATAGTACTTAAGTTTGTAGGTGTGAATTTAAGCTACCCTATTTGGCCTCATTTGATCATTATTTCAATAATGTCTAAGGTTGGATCCCTCTTAATTGTTGCAGACAACAACAGCAAAATGTCCTCCATCTGGTTATACTTAACAGTTTATCTCTTGCTTGCCAGTTGACAGTTGAAGCAGAGTGACAGTAAAATGATGACATCTTGAGGGCTAGTAAGATAAAACAAGTGAGAGCAAGGTCAGGGCTGCATGTGTGTATTGTTTATGTGGTGTTTCTCAGTGACAGCAGTGAATGAGGTATGAATGCAATAAATGGTTCACAGCTATTTTGGGAGATCCATGTGAAATTCACAGTGGTTTCTATAAACAGTTACTGTAACAGAGGCATCCCACATAAAATAAAATAAAAACTAAACCTCCCTCACAATAAAGTTATGTTAAGTGAAGTGGTTCCTCATGACTTTTATCTGTTGACACTATCTTGTTACTGGCTACAGCTAAATTTGCAAAACCAGAGACATGATAGTATGCATCCCATCACAGTGATCACAAATTCAACCTTTTTTTTTTAAAAATAAAACATTTTATTTCTTCTTGGCACAATGCACCCCTAACATTTTGTGCAAGATCCATGGGTGGACGGCTTCCATTAACATAAAAATCAACTTCCTGGAAGATTTAGTGTAGCAATGTGAGGCAAAAGAATAAATAATTTGCAAAAAGCAAGATGATGAAAACTCTACATCAGGGATGTGTTATCAACTCTTGCTCACCCAAAACGCTCAAATTAAGATTTAACTGAGAAGGATTTAGAGGGACTGATGTGTGTTTGGATGCGGTTGGGTGGGTGCTTTCTGAGGGAACTTAAAAGGCATTTACAACCATGTTACTCCCAAAACCACCAAATTTGAGGTGTGTAAACTGGTCTGTCCCATTTATAACGATGTCAACAGCTGGCTGGCGGCATTAGTCTGGGAAAAATCCAAAAGTGGCGACAAGGGACACATATATACTCCACAGTAGCACTGTGAATATATAATTCTGAGTCGACTGCTACTGTTGCTTGTGTGATTTGTTGCTTTAGTGAAGCTCTACTGCAAGCATCTTAAGTGTTGGCTAATGATTATTCAAAACTCAGCAATAAGAAGTTTAAAAAGAGAAAATACTGAAGATCAAGGCAAAAGACATGCAAATGTCTCCTCTTGGATTTTCCACAATAGAGACCAATGAATTTAGAAGTATTACCGGTTGATTTAAGGCATGAATGTCTGCAAAAGTCTTGATTTTCCTCAGTGACATACAGTGTGATTACGTCCCAATTTATTTGTAGCCTTGAGAAATTTATAAAAGAAGCATTTCACAGTGTAATGTCAAATTAGAACAAATTTAACTGCCTGACAACTGTTGCATTGTTTGCTAATGTATAGATTGATTTCTGTATGACAGACAGAAGTTGGGTACTGCAAATGCCATTCCAAATGGCAAGTCTAGTGCCTTTATAAAGAAAAAACTACAAACTGACAACACGACAGCAAACATGAGACACACCTGATCCCTTTTTAACTTGTCACATCTGGATAAATTAAATCTTTCTACAAACTCTGATGTTACATCCCCGATGAGATGCAAAATCAAAAGTATCAAAGATGAAACATGATTAGAGAATAAAGGGGGTTTGTGCTCTAAATCCAAGGGTCTCATTCAGTTCCTCTCATAGCTCATCCCGTGCTGTACTGTCCAAAGGCGACTGGAGGACATCTGAGTTCTGGGCCTCAGAACTGATCTCAGCTTGCTCATGGGTTTTTCCTGAGCGTGCTCTGTCCCAGTCTGTACGGACCTTGTCATTGTCCCACACTGTGGAGGTCTCAGTGTCGCTGATGTAACCTTTGTCGCCTGTGTAGTGTGTTGGATACACTAGAAGAGGCTCAGCTGAAAATGCCTTCAGGTCCCTGGTTTCAAACTGTTCCATATAATCAGACCTGTGGAGTAGAAGGTAATGTCAAGAAAAACAAAGAAAGGCAAAACTCCTGAGCAGATGTATATGTTATGTGTGTGTACTGGGTAGCATACAAACACTTACACAGGGTGTTTATTGTACATGATCGGAAGAAACTCGTCCACTGGCAAAATCCTCTTTAGTGGTTCTGCTTTCAACAGCTTCTCTGCACCTTGTAATGATATCATATAACCCAGTGTCCAATATGAATAGTCTGCTTTCACTAAGTTGTGTATATTAGGCACTGCTTTCTCTGGGTGATCCACTTGCATTCTCTTCCGACCAATATAACTGGAAGAAAGCAACAGAGACGAGAAGTGAGAATCAATTGCAAACTTAGGGTAATAAAGATAAAAATGAAAGACAGTGGAGGAAGCACAAAACCCACATGAGATCCCAGTCCAGTCCTTCATGCTCCAGCTCGCTCATCAAGTTCATCAAGCGACGTTTGAAGAAGACCTCAAAGCGCAGGTCATCTTCAATCACCAGGGAGGTGTGCAGGCGTCGCTCCACAATCTAAAGCCAGACACAGATTTATCAATAAGTCACCTGTCTGTCTGGTTCACAAATGTTCAAAAGCTTCTGAGGTTCACCTCTTTCCAGATGTTAAAGTGGGAAAGGAAGCATCCTAGCTCTCCCTTTGTCAGTGGGCGACCATGATAGGGGTCACTGTAGCCAGGGAGCATGTGGATGCCCATAGTATGAACTTCACTGATATTCATTGCTCTGAAATAGAGAGGAAAGAGCAAAATTGTTATTGAGAAAGGAGAGACAAGTGTGATTACCAAGAACTAAACAAGTGTGAAGTACTCATTAAACAGGGTGAACTTACTTTCCATCTACAGCTGGAATGACCTTACATTTAATCTCCTGTTCGTGTAATGCCCTCAGCATACGTTCTCGGCGGTCAGTCCGCCTCTGCAGGTTTATCATAAACACCTACACATGGGCAACAGTGGAGCCAATGTAATTATAGATTTTTAACAGCAGGGGGAGGCATTCAGCACAGAAGTGGATAGAAGGCCATTTTTGCAGACTCCATCTTCACATCACTCGTTACTCACCTCATCGAAGCCCATTTTGTCAGGTTGTTTTCTAGGAACAGGTACGTATTTGGAAGGCATCACTGGGGGATTTCGCACTGCACAGTGAGAGGGAAGATGGATGCAGAAATGGTATAAATGGTATATAGAATTGCATGCTGATAGTTATTACTTAGATAGAGCAGTAGAAAGTAGAATACCGACTTCCAAGCCAGAAGAAAAGAGGGAGTTGGATGCAAAAGTAAAGCCCTCAGTCTGAGTGCAAGCTACTGACCATTAACCTCCAGCAGGGAGTGCAAGAAGCTGTCAGCTTCGTCTTGCAAAGTATTGTGGGATCGCAGTGGCACAGGGAAGTAACCATAGGTCTCTTTATTACATAAAAACATTTGGACATCTGTAGAGAGCAGAAGAAGCAAATATTTTCTCAATCTGAAGTTACAACATTTAGGTTAAAAGGGTCAAATGTATATATATATATATATATATATATATATATATAAGCATTAAATTGTAAGATACCTGCCATCCGAGCAGAGTAGGCAAACACAATGATGTCATCAAAAGCCCAGCTGTATTCTGGGTGTGGAGGGTGAAAGGCTAGCTGCCTGGAAGCCTCTTTCCTGAGATCTATGAGGAAGGTGGAGTGGACCATGGGAACTGCAAAACAGCCCTTCCGCACCTGCTTCCTTATGGGTATGTAGGCAGGGGTGCGCTTATAGTAACCCTGAAGAAGCAGAGTTGGTTAACAGCTGAGTTCAGAGAGGATTTAAGAGCATTCATTAAATCAACTGAACCCTTAGAAAATGTTCAGCGCACACACAAGTGTGTAACCAAATCATCAACACAATACCTGGGAGGTCATTCCACACCAGAAGTTTGAATAGGCTGCACGGGATTCAAGCATCGGAGCAATGATGGTCTTATTCTCTTTCATGAGCTTCCAGACCACATCGGGATTGGTGAGGAGGTTATCACAGTCCACCAACTACACAAGGAAGAGAATATAAACTGTATAATGTCTGTGAATAGTCAAAGAAGTGTATTTGTGGCACTCTGTAAACTGACTTCAGAAAAAAACATCCAATGGTCAAAATGGGTCATGAAGGTTAAATAGGGCTCTAAAACTTAGACAGTAAAAAAAAAAAAAAAAGACTATTCATTTAAAAACTGTTTTTGGGGGCAAGGCTAAGACAGTTTCCAAAATTTGTAGCACAAAATTATTGCAATTCTGGATATACTTTGCTTCAAAATTATACCCCACTGAAGCTATGTGGGCTGGGCTGAGAGTACAAATAGAAATGTCAACTGAGCTGCATTTTAAAATATGGTTCATGTGGAGTCAAGATGTGTGTCAGTGTGAGGCTCCAAATGAACCAGACCAAATAAACTTTAACAATAAGAGACTGAAGATTTTCAACACCCTTCCCCGGTGCTTTAACTACAATTGTGGTGGTGCTTTGGACTTAACTCTGTACTTATCCCTCTGCTGCGATTACTGAACAATAAAGTTAGTCCGGGTAGAAGTGCTGGCTCGATGTTGTGCCTGTAAAGAGTTGTTTCGTTGACCTACCATAAAGTAGTCCGCCCACATCTCACGAGCTGACTCCAGTGCTACTTGCCGAAGTTTCATCACATGCTCATAACGGAGGTCCGTCCACTGCTTTGGACCATCTTCATCCCGATAATGGCTACAAGAGACATTTGGATACCAATCAGACCGATTTTATCTTAAAATCTCTTAAACACAACATTTCACCAGAAACTCTACTCAATCACTAACCTGGGTTCCTCTTTCGGCCTCCACTCCACATAATGGTAAAGGCTCTGCACCTTGACAAGCCAGTCACGCAGAATGGACGTGGTGTTGTCCTTGTTATGGTCAGTTGCTACCCTGTCAATATACAACACAAGTAAATGAGTAGAATGAACAGTATTCATCACCAAAGGAGTTGAACATTATCAACAACTGAGGCCAATAAGGGGGAAACAGCCAGAATGGTAGAATGTAGCTTTGGTACCATACTCTATTCAAGCTGAGACAAGAGTTGAAAGACGATACCACAACTCAACAATGGCCTACTGTTCTTTTTTTTTTTAAACTTGGTGTCTGAAGCTGTGAGAACTGGCACAAGTGTTAATGAAACCAACATCAAAACAAAACAAAACACAGTACATCTAGTTGATATAATCTAGGGTATCACATCAGACTTTAAAGAATGGTGTATCAAGGAACCCTAATAAGGAAAACCATACCATATTCAAGAAACAGCATTGCAGAAGTGAAACTTTTGTCTACAATAGTTCAGAACAAAAAGGAAATGATTGGAACTGGCAGAAGCCATGCGTGAGACACATGACATGCTAGACAGCTTGCATGTTTGATCTAATTCTGCAGAGGAAGGAAATAAAGCCACATGTTCATCTCAGAGTCATTACATCTGCTTGAATCTCTGTATCAAAAAATGAGAAATCATGCCACAACAGAACATCCGCAGCCTTCCTTTTTTTTGCCATTTGGTGTACTGTAGGTTATCAATCTTTGCCGGATAAAAAGAACAGCTGCACAGCCAAGATGGGTTCTCTTGAGAGATTTCACAGGAATCTGTGAGAACACTGCAGCCCCTTGCCAAACCAAGCATTTCTTCCTTCACTCCCGCTTTCTCTTACTTTGGATTACACCGACTCTTCCGTCTCATGTTCAGCTCAAATAAATGTTTGTCGAAAACACTGTTTTCAACTATGCAGACACCAAAGATTTAAATGACAGTTTGTCTAATTCTGAATCCAAGGCTTTGGCATGCTTACAAGCAGCTGCAAAAGGGTTGAGCAAAAAGCATACAGCATGTAGTGTTTACATCTCACAGCTGTGTGCATTGTCCATTAATGTGCTTGCAAAACATGTCAAAACAACACTGTCCTTACCTCAAACAAGAGGTTTATGACCACCCAAATAAAAAAAGAGAAATCAAACAACCTCACTTATATACAAAGCCCCTCAATAAAGTGAAACTTGTTCATCAAGTTGGTGAGTGAAATCTCTCTGAGCCCTCGAGGCAGTCTGGCCAACCGCTCAGAGCTCTCAGAGGGGATAAACATAAGGGGCTGTTGGAGCATGTTGTTTAGTTATTATGTGAAAAAACACCTCCCTTTCACTTCCATAAACTTCTGCCTGATGTTTAAATGGTCTATAACATCCATTTGCACTTCCCACTAGATAATTGCCTTGGAAGGTTGGGTTTTTCACAAATGACAGACAGGGTGCAACTGCGATTGGGTTTGGAAATGGCCTACATAAAAGCGTATTTAGTGAGCCACAACACAGCTAGGTTTTTAGTTTCCATAATCATTTAGAGCAAATATTTAAGGTTGCCCTTCCCCCTGTACAAAGCTACATACTCAAACTTTCCTGTGTCATCTTTTTCTCAACAATCCATAACAATAAATTCCACAAAAATGCCCTTGAACAGAATGTAGTTGTTACAGTAAGTGCTGCTTTTCTCCTGACTGCTCTACAATTTCCACTTCCCATATAGCATTGCCAGCACAACTCATCAGTGAGGGGGGTTCCCTGGGGCTGAAGCTTCACAAGATGGAGATCTCTGGGCTATAAAATGTGTCTGCTGATCAGGTATAGGCGTCAATCGCTGCACTAGTTGATCAGAGGCCTAACGGACAGGAGGTGTATATGGGCTGGGGGAGATGGGGACTGGAGGTAACCTAAAGGTATACACGCACAACACTATTTCTCTTTGTTAGGATTTGTATGTTAAATCATACAGCTCCCCTCGTGGACAAATCAGTCCTGTCCCCTCCCCTCCACGTATACAGATCAATGCATAGCCATGCTGATGAGCAGTGACCAGATGTGCTCACCTCTGTCCAACAAACAGTGGATCACCTAAAGCTGCTTTATGTTTATTCCTGCTCTGAGTCGGTGTTAGTTCTTCTTTGTTTCCTGCTTGTTGAAATTTATTAGATATTTTAACCCTCAAGACAACTTTTTCTACATTGTCACCATTATAGTCTCTCTCTCGCGGGTCCACCCCATTTTTTTTTTACCCTTCCCCAAAACCCATCATCAGCGGTCAGCAATGCGCCGTTTTTTATTAAAATGTTTTTAATTAGACACCTTAAATTACAAAAAGAAAACTTTTTTTTTTTTTTTTTTAACCTTAGCTAGCAACTTCTTAGCGGCGTAGCTTGCGAGAATACTGAGGTTTCTAACAACTTACCACAGGGCCATACGATCCTTGGGATAATTGAGGCGCTCAATAGTACCGAGGAAATACGGCAAAGAGTGCTCGGAGTTCCTGCAGACGAGGGCGAGGAGAACCCGGGGAGCGAGGAGCGGAGACTCGGGGCTCCAGCGCTCCTCCGCAAAATACGCCCGGGCAGGACCGCAGCAGGACAGGAGCAAGAGGAGCAGAGCGGCGGGGAGGCAGGCGAGCCCGTGCATTGCGACGGCAAATGAATTTAAAAAAATAAAAAATAATAAAATAAAATAATAGCACACAATCTACGTGGGTGCTATGTAAGAGTCGTCTCTCTACTTTGTGCGGTCATCACAGAAAAAGCACAAATCTGTGCAGCAGCTCCTGATGTGTCAACACTGCGAAGTTGTGCCTTTAAAGGGGTGGGATGTTCTGTGGTCTTAAAGGGGATGGGCTACAATGCACATTGCACACAGCAGTCGAATGTTTTATTAACATTTATTTTATTTTATTTTTTTACATTTCTAATGACAAGTACTAAAAATAATGCATGTTTAGTGTCAGACTGTGACTGGATGTTATATTTTACAATGGGTGTCAAGGCAACTCAAGAACATACATTTTACAGTATATTTATAAGGTAACTATGTCATGTTAATGGACCCAATACACACCAAAAAAATCTAATTTTTTCAACTTTATAGCCAAGAAAATGTTACACTAACCAACCTCTAATAAATGCTAAATATAATGCTGGAAATTACAAAGGTGTCCTCACTGTTTTTCAGTTCATCCTTATATCCTATCTCATTATCTCGGCTACAATAATCAACAGCACTTTCATGTGAAAGTAGGAATGTACTGCACTATTTTCCGATCTCTTCGTGTTTTCGCACCAGCGTTGACTTCCTGTCTTTATTCGGCAGATGGAAAGCGCTACAGTTTGGCCCCTGAGCCAAGCCTCTCTACCTGGATAGTTAAGGAGGCGGCTGCGGGGTCATCAACAAGCCAGAACAGCTCGCCGTTAGTCGGGACAACGCGAGCTGCTGGGAAAGCTGGTCCTTCTCTACCCTCCAGCACTTCCTGAAAGAAAATATGTTACATGTTACAGTGATGTTACATAACTCAGTATGAACCATATTTCTGCAGGCCTGTGGGTCATTAAAGTGACTTGTGATTGAATAGAAGCACACATTTGTAATCCTGTAATTAACCAGCAAATGATTTGTTATGCACTATTCTGTTACTCTATTTCCTCTCTGTCTCACATTTAACTGGTTTGTGTCTGAACCTCGTCTAAGCTAATTTATTGTGTCATGTTAATAGCAGGTTATCTTTTTTTAAAGATTCTGAATTTGAAGTGTGTATGTTCAATAAAAGTCTCTAAAGTGTTACCTTCAAAACGGGTGCTTTGCTTCCTCCTGTTGACACAAAAGCCACACAGCGTGCCGAGTTCACCACTGGGAAAGTCATAGTTACACGCTGTGGGGGTGGTTTGGGAGAGTCGCTGATGGGGGCGACAATCTTCTTGGTTTCCTGAATATGGAGTAAACCCAAAACCCAGTCATCTATCACGTGTAATGCATACAAGTCACCAAAAAGTGGCAATGTGAAAACCACAACCCAAGTGTGTACAGTAACTCTCAAATCCATGATGTAACATGAGCCAGACTGCCTCACAGGCATTTTGCAAGGGATGATTGTGAAGTCTAAAGTCTAACTTCTGCTTAACTCCTTAAATTAAAACCTATACATCCATAGATACTCATGGGAGTGTCTTGAAAAGTACAGAGAAAATACAATTTGTTTAGACTAGAAAATCTGGAACTACATCAAAGAGTAAACCCCAACATGCCTCCAGATCTCAATTAGTAGGCCTCCCAAAATAAAATGCGTTTCATATGCCTCCTGCAGGAAAACATCCATATTTCTATAAGTGAACATGTTTACAGAAACATTTGCAGAACATGGTTCAACATCAAGACATGAAATGATGTTTTCGAGAGCAATTTCCCCCAATAGTTCAGTACACATACAGGCAAACAATTACATATTCTTCCTTTAAGTCTGAAAAATTCCAGACAGCCCTCACCTCCAGAAGAGGGTGGTCTGGGAAGAGGGAACAGGTGTGTCCATCAGGCCCCATACCCAGCAGTAACAGGTCAAACACAGGGAAATCGTCCCCTGGGAAGGCCTGTGTGTTTGAAATTAGCAAGACAATCTTGTTAATATTCTACAAAATATTAAAATCCAAAAGAACAAGGATGTGTGACTTTATAACCAGAATGTATCATAGAACAGTAACAGGTGTTGCACCTCCTTTAGTTTGCGAGTATAGTCCTCAGCACACTCATTCACAGGCAGAGAGGAGTCGATGGTTAAGATCCCACTGTCAGGGATGTTGACCTTTGAAAAAAAATGACTCTAGAAAAGAAAAAAAAAAGGGATTGTTTGACCCCAATGTAACAGAATACCATAAATTAATATATGTGCACCTTAATGCACATACAAACAAACACACTCCTGAACAGGTACCTTGTACAGCCCATAGGTGCTCTCAGGATCATCAAAGGACACCAATCGCTCGTCACAGAAACCAACCACCCACTTGCTGCAGTCCAGGTCTGGCAGGGCGAGCAGCTCTTTGCTGAGCATGGACACAAGGCTTCCTCCAGAGAGCCCCAGGGTGAACCTGCCATGAGAGACGATGGCCTTCTGGGCCCGAGATGTCACCAGCTGGGCCAGCACCGGACCAAGCTCTGCTGAGGAGGGGAAGACCACGACTCTTCTGCCAGCCATGACAGACCTGTGTGAGTTCAGGAGTTACTGGGTAGAAGAGAAAGGGAGAAAAAAACAAACAGGTTTTGAGCAATATATAAGGAAGTAAATTACAACACCGTTTTGCAAGTCATCGTGATGCATCTGTATATTTTCTACCCATAAAATGTTTGTGTTGAGATATTAAAGCCCTACTTTTTTAAGCCTGACTACTGTAATACAATGAGGCTGGTTTAGAGAGGTCAGGACAGTGAAGCTATAAACCCCAGCTATTTATTTATGCATGACACTGAATTAGCGAGTATCAGGAATATGCCGGAGAAGAGAAGCTCAGATCTCGACATGTTAAACAAACAGACATTTGAGCTCTAACCGAACAGTTTTACGGGGGAAAAAAAAAACACGTTTCTTTACCCACTGAGAATCTCTGGAGCGGATTGTCATGAGGAGGATTTTCAGTCGGCAAATGTAATTCGACCCACTACTTCCTGAAACGAGTTCTCAGCAGCCAATCACATTCTTTTTTTTTTAGCCCGCCAGGCATTCTGGTCAATGGAGTCTCCGGCTAACTAACTAAAACGACACAAAAAGTCAGCGTATGGACAGACAATTTTTAAAACAACAACATCGACACAACACCGATAGACGCTGAAATTGACGGACGAGGTTGTGTCGACGTTACAGCTCCATTTGGTTTTGTAGCTGTGTGTTTTACATTGCGATACTTCTTCCCGGGCAGTAGATGGCAACACCGCATCCAATACAACCACTTGAGTTTGGAAAGAGACACTCTCACGCGTATTTTGTGGGCATGGACACGGCTCTTCTCGTGTTAAACGTTGTAACTTCATTTTCACATTGAACATTAAGCCGTCTCCACCGCAACAACTCGTCCGTGTGCGTCTCTCGGGGTCAACAGCAACCTTTTTATGAACCATGTCGACAGTCTTCTCTTTCCAGACGCAGCTCGTCTCCATCATGGACGCGTTATCCAAAACAGCAGTAATGGAAATAAGCAAACTGGTGGAGATCGAGTCGAAGATGCTGAAAATAGAGATAACTCGAGGGCGGAACGAAATCGCCTCCCTTACAGAGAAACTGCAGCTGATGGAGAACTTGCTTTATATTGCACAGGGGGGCAGGCAGGACGCAGCAGCCGCAGCATGCTCAGTGGTGAGGGACGGTTCAGAGGACAGAGAATTGGACCATGACAGGACAAGACCTGCCATAAAAAGGTAGGGTTGTTGATTCCTGTGTGTAGCCTGTAGTTAGACAGTGTGTCTCTGTTGTGCTGACACCATGAATACGTCTCCATGATGACATTTTGTGTCAGCTACACCCTGCCTGGTGTATTTAATCATAGTTTATTGCATCCTAGTGAGAGCCCATGGGAAAGCATAACTTCCTCCACTGAGAGGAGCAGTGTGCCTCAAGGTGGAGAACATGCCGCAGCTGAAGTGAGTCCTGCAATAATCATAATGGCACTACTGTACTGTGTTGTTTATTTATAAAGTGCAATTCATATGCTGTTTTCTCTTTAGCTCCAAAATCCATCGAAAGAGCAGCCTGAATTGATTGTGGTAAAGGAAGAGCCGACAGAGTTGGACAATGGAGACACTGAACAAGATAGGACAAGTGAAAACAGTGAGTATTAAAGTTTGGTTGCACAGCAGTGTTTAAAATGTATGTACACATTCTGACTCAGGACCCTTTTGGCATCAGAAAATTGACCTTGAGTAACCATCGGTAGACTTTAGGTTACGGTTATTTTGTCAGACTATAGATCTTTTTGACAACAGCCATTTTGTCATGAACTAGAAGGGTAAACAGGGGTGTTACCAATTATACTAATTAAGGTTCCATTCTATTTAGTGTAGCAGAGGCTTTCCAGTGTGCCAACATGCACAATAACAGCACCCTGACACTTTGCGACCTGAATGGAACAGCCTTAATTAGTACCGCCTTATTTACCACACCTTATTTTTTTTTACCCTACCATTTCACATCAAAATTGCTGCTGTTAACAATCTATCAACAGTCTATTATTGACATATTTTAAAATGCTTACCTGCTGTCAACAGGAAGGGAGGCCGTCACGAACACCCAGAAGAGTCCAGAAGTGATGCAGCATCCCAAACCCATCACAGAACATCAGCCGCCTCTGTTTCCCGACAGCTTTGTGATCCTGAGCGCCCAGTCGTCTCTCACTGGACCAGTAAGGAGGGAAGCACAGTGGAATCCACAGCTTGCACCTGCACACACAAACCTAGAGGCTGGGAAAAGTCTGGTTCAAAATGTTGCCTCCCAAAGCTCTAGCATGCTCAGGAATATGAAGCTTCACAACTTGAGGACCTCGGCCGCAAAGAGGTTCGGCTGCTTGCAGTGCGGCAAGAGCTTTAGATGCTTTAGCCAGCTTGAAATACACCAGAGAAGTCACACCGGAGAGAAACCGTTCAGGTGCACACTTTGTGGGAAGAGATACGCACAAAAAGGGCACCTGTATACACACCAGCGCACACACACTGGGGAGAAGCCATACCGCTGTCCTATTTGTGGAAAGGGTTTTATTCAGAAATGCACTCTCGATATGCATCAGCGCACACACACCGGAGAAAAACCTTTTGTTTGTATCAAATGTGGCAAAGGTTTTACAAAGAACTGTAATCTGAAAAAACACCTCGCAGTACATCTGGATCCTAGTTTGAACATGTATGGTAGTGAATCTAATGCTCCGACATTTAGTGGGACATTCGTTAATGGAACCACTTAAAAACAGCCAGTCAAATGTAATTTCCCTGCTGTTTTATTGAAATATTTTGAGCATAATAAAGTTATCTTTGCTCCACATTTGAGTGCGTGTCACCTGCTTTCACTTATCAAATGTGATGAAAATATGTATCATGTGTTATCTGCTGCTAACGTTTTCATTTTTTCCAAATGGTCCAAATTTGATGTTGTGCTACAGTTTAATAAATACAAACAGGTTACAGTATGAAAACAACGTTGCAGTAATCTAGAGGCTATAATATACCACTGCTCCAGTGGGGTGGCTTTTAATATCAATGTTTAGAACTTGTTTAGACTGACCACACAAGACTTGGACTGGTACAGCAACACTGACTGAGAGCATGTTATTGAAACATAATATGTTAAATAACTACTTTGAATACGATGACTTCTGGCTAATACTTTAAAATTTGAATTAGAATACATATATTCATCTGAACTAACAAAAACATCTCTAGCAGGTCAGTAATAAGAATAATTTCCACATATTGATATCAATACATTCTAATCTGAAATCAATTGTGTTGTATTTCCTCACTGTGACCACTGGAGTGCAGTGAACACTCATGGTTCTTAATGATGTCTAACAGGAAGAGTGGAGGTCTCCACAACACAAAACTATTTAAATAGACTTTTAAAAAGCTGTATAATACAATTATTATCAGTGCTGATGTAATTATATGTTAATAACCACCATATTAAGTAACTGATATTAATAACAGTTATGCTGATATAACCTGTGTGTTACCAACAAATTTAGTGTTGTAGTTCCTCCCTATAACACTTCAAGATAAAACAAGCCTCAAACGAGACACCTGTGTTTTTAATATTCTGCACCTTGTATGTACATGTACAGGAGTAGCTGTCCTGCAGTGACAGCTACTGGCTGTACCAACACGGTATCTAATATTACACAAATCAGATTAGTAGACATTACTATAAATACCCGTGTTGATACGTGTTACGGCCTCAGTATGGAGGTCCAAGGGGAATAGAGGCGCAACAATTAATAATTAACCGGGAAACAGAAAGATTTGTACTATTAAACTATTTTTTTAAACGTAAATGAGTCAATATCAACACAAAACAACTTCCTAAAAAGAAAGGATGTGAAGACCATTTAAACTAAACAAACCACTGATCCAGCAAATAACTATGAATAACGCTGTCCCTCCACTGAGGGACTAATGGTAATAACATGACGAGCACCACAACACCATCTGGCGGCTTGGCCCACTGGCCACGTCTGCTTCCGCCCAGGTAGCTTTAAAGCAGGCGACATGATTGTTCAAACTACCGCAGGTGTACCTGAGCAGTCGGAGGGGAGGGCGGCACCTGGAGCAGGGCTCAGGACAGCGGAGGCAAAACACACGTACGTAACAATACTTCAGATACAAGGGGAGTTAAGGGTTAAAATAGGAAGGGCACTGAATGTGGAAATTATGGAAATATCCTTGTTTTCTTGCCATGGAAGTTTGCCATCAGCTCAACAGCAGAACCTGGTCAAGCTCAAAATGAGTGGCATAAATTAATCATGTCACAGTAAAGATTTTAAAAAGGAGCTGCTTGTGGGTTGAAAGAGTGGCACAGTTATATCGATAATTGATAGTAAGTGTGGATTCCACTAAAGAGGGAAACATGGAAATAAAGATGATTATAAAGCTGATATCATGGCATACCATGGTATGAAGATTGACGGTTATCATACCATGTACATGGGCTTATCTACAGATTTGAATTCTACTGTACTGTATATGTATATTATATATTAAAAATATGTTATATATAAAAAATATAATAAAGCATTTGTTCAACCAACCATCTGTCTGTTTTTATTCCATTATGTAACTAATAATAATAATAGTGTTATACTGTGAAACTGTGATATTTTCTGAGACAGTCATGGGTCTCAGGCAGGAGGAGCCTGTGCGACATTTATAAGATCTGTGCGGCAAAAGAGGGTGAAACTTGAGTCTCTGCTAGAGTGTGTGGTGGTTAGGGTATGACAGAAGCACAGATGTGTTAACACTGAATTTCTATAATCCCTGCTCACAAACCGGGGATATTGAGAAGGTTATGGAACAAAAAAGGGACACCAGTCATTTGAATAGGGGACTTTACTGCTCACAACCCCCTTAAGGGCAGCAGAAGGAAATACAATAATGGTATTATTGTATAGATGGGTTAGTATGTTTAAACAATGGTATACCAGCTATGTCTGACATTAGAACAGGTGTAGTTTCATGTATACATTTAGCTTTAGCATCCAGTGAATTGGCAACTTTTTGAAGAACAGGACAAGGCAGGTTAGGGTTGGGGATCCTTATTCTGACGACACCGGAATTGACAGTGACTGATTTAGAGAAAGCAAGTTAGGGCTCCGGTCTGACCATGTGGTGGAGCTGTTGGCTTTGCTATATAGGCTTGAGCAGACTGGAGGCTCAGTGGACTGTCTTGGGGTGCCAGCCCATGTTGGGGTGGAAGGGAAGGAGGCAGCAACTGAAGAGAGACAGAAATAAGAGCTGCCTACACATAAGGACATCTGAGTGTAAATATGCCACAGCACCCAGTATCTCCAACCACCACTCATTAAGACTGGTGAAACTTCAACCTATGACGCACAAACTATTTGTCTTTAAATTGCACATGTACAGTTTAGTTTTTAGTCATACGCTGCTCAAAATATTTTGCACACCATTTTACTGCATATCGCATATAGCGTATATAGTTTTCATTATAGTCTTATGTTTTTTATCATATTGTATAATATTCTCATTTTGTGATTCTTTATTGTACTTTTACACTTCTGTACTTTTGCATTACATTCCTCTATGCTGCTCTGTCTAATTAGCTTTTTATTTTTCAATAAAGGAAAATCTTATCTTATCTTATCTTATGTTACCAAGAAAAACAAAACAGTGGGAAATAGTAGGAAATAGTAGGAAGTAGTGTGAAAATGAAAAGTAGGGACATAACGCCTCCTCCGTTACAAAATATAAAGAAAGTGCATTAGAGAGAAAGAGAGGAGGCACACAGTTGTTAGACTGTGCACTGGCATGATGACAGGGAAGGCAAACATAAGAATGAACTCTGTGACACCTGCAGAAAAAACAAACTGTGAAACATTGCAACCATTACATGGAACAAAGAACCCGCCTAAACTGTATCATCACACAGACTGTGACAATAAAGAGCCTGCTTCAGCCCACTGGGAACCAGTCAAAGGCTCACAACACACACACACACACACACACACACACACACACACACACTCCGAACTGCAAAGGCAGCAGCAAAGGGCTGCAAGGCATCCAGCCTGCCGGAAGTCCAGAAGAAGAAGACGCGAGTTTACCCACAATCCCGTGCGGCACAGCTATACTGCATATTTGATTAAAGAGCAACGTCGCTACGCCGGGAATCTTGCCAAAAAAATCGCAATATTCAGCCTCCCTGTCGAGATGATGTGCGACACCACAAACCGAAGTTTTCGGACGCAGTTAGCCGCCATCCTGGACAAGCTAACGAAGTCGGCGTTGGTGGAAATCGGCAACCTGGCTGACGAATGCTCCTCCGTCCTTCACACCGAGATATCCCTGCACAAGACGGAGAACGAGGCGCTCAAGAAGAGGTGTTACTCGCTGGAGGTCCAGCTGAGAGCAGCGAGAGAGGCACAGACATATCCTACACATCTCAACAACGTCAACCGCCGACACCCAGCAGGTCAGGACGGTCACAATGAGGACAGACAGCCGCTCTCTAGGCTGCCACACCGGAGGCGGGTTTATCCGGAATAACGTAGATGTTCAGAGTCAGGTTTACTGCCCTGTTAGTAGGTTTTCACATACTACTAGTTTGCCATGGTATATATGGTGAATAACAATAGCAACGTAAGCATGAGATTAATATAAATAAAGATGAACGCAAGTACTGCAGCCAGGAAGCTTAATTTGACAATAAATTGAAGAGAGGAAAAAAAAAACCCCAAAAAGAGACAAAAATACAGTAATTAGTTAAAAGGTTATTGGTCAGTGTTATATAGTTTTAGCCAGAGATTCATGTCTGCGTTGTTGGTTCTACATATTCAGTCTTTAAGAAAAAAAACTAAACATTCATGTTAATGCTGTTGTAAGTTGTATTTGATATTGTTGGATATTTATCTTATGATGATCACAATTTCATATCTGCTTCTTCCTCCAGAACAGCAGCAGCAGCCTGCTCCGGCCATCGATGGAGTTTTTGGAAAGGACTGGTGCATGGATCTGTGGAGAGAAGACAAACTCCCACCTCAAAGAAAAGACACAGTGGAGCCTACTGCTATGACAAGCATGGGGGCACAGGTCAGTGAATCATTTACCAACTGGTTGTATTTTTTCCCCCGAATGCAGTCATTTCTTTAGTGAGCTGAAAATGACTGAATGAGCGTTGTGTCACATGTCCTGTTGGTAGGCAATCGACTTACTGGAGAGAGAACCTGATCTCATCTTTGTCAAGGAGGAGATATATGATGATCATCCCATTGGTCAACAGATGATGCTCACAGATAACAGAAAAAGTAAGTGTGGATTAAAAAAAAACAAACAGATAATTTTAACCCCAGAAAGTTTCAGTGATTTAACTGCATTTATTTTCATTTGACAGTTGTTGGAATTTTTGAGGAGGACAGCATGCTTCATAGATCTGTTGATGAGCTGCAGCTTCACTCAGGGGAATTAAACAGCTTCCCCATGACGGCTGACAGTCAAACACAACTACGCACACAGACAACAATTATGGACAAGTTAATAGATGATGCAACAATGAGCACTCTGGTTGACAACACAAATCCTCCTTCAGTCACCGCTGAATACTCTGACTATACGAACAATATCCACATGAACGCAACCAAAGAACTCCCCAATCAGCCAAAACCTATGAAGCCAACAAAACGCTTCGAGTGCTTATTCTGTGGGAAAATATTCAACTATTTGAGCAGTTTAAAAGTCCACATCAGGCGACACTCCGGTGAGAAGCCTTTCAGCTGCTCAGTTTGCGGGAAGCGGTTTGCACAGAAAACGTACCTGAAACTGCACCAGCGCGTGCACTCCGGGGAGAAGCCTTACAGCTGTCCAGACTGTGGCAAAAGTTTCTCCCAGAAAAGCTCTCTGAACATACACCTTCGAACACATACTGGTGAAAAGCCTTATAGCTGTGTGGATTGTGGGAAATGTTATGCATACAAGTATGGTTTAAATCACCACCAGTGTTTCAACTGACTGATCAAACTCTGAACAGCTACTTCTAAAGTGCTCTATGTATTACTCAGAGTGGCTCAACATGTGCCAAAATGTCTACACAAAACTCAAACGTGGATGATAAATACTCTAGTTAGTTAGTTAGTTCATATGGTTAACAGTGCTGCTGTAAGATCTTAGTTTGTTGGGTGTTTTTAGCTTTAATGCAGACAGAAATGCTGCAGCAGCCAGACAAAGGTACAGAGAATGTGTCCTTTCTAATGTACCATTTGAACTGGTGGGATTTGGTTCATGTTTTTGGTTTGGGGGGGTTCATTGGCAAAGGTTTGATGCCCTCAGCAAGCCTTTAAAGTGAATTTCCCATCCTGATTGAATGGAAGTGTCATAAATTAGATGACACATTTCATTTAAGTCTATTTATTGTGAGTTGCTCATCCTAACTATGACAGAATAATACTTCTACTTCATTCATTGCATGTTGTCATGGTTGGTGTAACATGTTATACATACCTCAGTATCATATTTCAGACCACAAAAGGCTTGTGTCAAATAATGCCAAAATAATTACTTTACATTGTTTGCACACATGTAGCATAAACCTTCAAAACTACCTCTTCTCAACAATGTAGAAGTAAAACAACTCACTCTGTTTGCTTCATTTCCCAAGTCTCAACGCTGCTCTATATTTTCTTTATGCCATGCCTCATTTCTTGGCATTTAACGTGAAAGAAAGTGAGTGGGCCAATGTCTTTAAAAACTGTCAAAAAGAGATGCTGATGTGTGTGGGTCACATAAAAGTTAAGAGTGAGAAATTGTTCAGGTCTAAATGTTGTTACTGTTCAAATATGTATTTGGTTTTAGAAGACAGATTGTGTTGTCAGTGTGTAGTCAAGCCAAACTAGTGTTTTTTTTCTTACTAAATGTTAACCATTTCTGTTAAAGAAATCATATTTTTATTCTGTACCTAACTGTCATCATGCTTAAACAGAGAGATCTGTACTAGGCACCTATTTTGCCTGTAATAATGATCCCCCCCTCAACAGACCACACTGACCCAACTGAGTGCATTATCCCTTCCCAAAAATGAAATTGTGTGCTGTTGATCACCCCCCACCCCTTTTCACTCACACCTGCATGCCCCTTGCCCCTTGCAAAGCCCCATCAGATGTGCATTGTCAACATTGAATATGTAAAGACTCCCCTGATAAAACTGATTCTCTAATTTTCAAGGCAACTTGAGTTTAGATTAGACAAAGGAATTAATTCTTTAAAAGGAGAGTTCTATCAAATAAAATTTTAATCAACAAGTGAACATTCATGACTGTGTTTCTTAAATAAAAACAAATGACAAAAACACGACATTTTGCTCCACACTCCTGATTTTTTAACAATACTACAGACTACAGGTCATTACGAACATGACATTTACTGCCCTTTTACATTAAAGTGATAAGTAGTATATAATGCATTCAGCGAACATTGCTACTGACCTTGTACCACAATCAGTCACTGACAGGTTTCAGCCGTAAAGGTTTTAAGATGTCTTACTGCTATGGACTTCCCTCCCACCACCTCACGATTTCTGTGAGCCATTAAATGATGATTGAGGTTGACCTTTTGCGTGAAAGTCTTCCCACATCTAACACAGCAGAACGGCCTCTCTCCAGTGTGGATACGTAGGTGACATTTCAGATTGCCTTTCTGGGTGAACCCTTTCCCACATAAGCTGCACCTGTAGGGTTTCTCTCCGGTGTGGACGACGTAGTGAATCCTCAGAGCTGATGGGTTTGCAAAGGTCTTCCCGCACAGCTCGCATGACTTACTGACTCTCTGAGAAGGAACTGGAGGCACGCAGGTGTGCAAGTTCAACTTGTTCCTGTGAGGAAAATGCTGCTTACAAATATTGCAAAAGTTTGACTTGTGCGATTTCATGTGGTGTGTTAGAGTGCCCTTGTGGAAGAATGTCCTGCTACATATTCGACAAGTGAATTTGTTTTTATTTGGATCTCTGGTGGTTTTTACATGAAGCATATTACAGTCGTCATGGGAATCTTTATCCACAGCAGTGCTGTTTTCAGATGTCTGCTGCTTTTTGTGGCTGGGCCCCCCTGCTGTGTTCATCATTGGCTCCTGCTGACTTTCTTGAATAAACTGTACATCCTCCTCCTCCTCCTCCTCAATTGGAATGATATGAGTGCTGAAGGCCTCCTCTGTGTCACTGATGGATATCAGCTGCATGGGTGGTTCTTCAATACCACCTGCAGACACAACCTGTTCTCCATCCTGATCAAATGACAGGCTGCAAGTGCTGCCATCAGCCGAGTAACCAACTGACAGTGTCTCTGGTTCCTCTGCAATGCTTTCTTCATGTTCTGTTGCATAAAAATACAAAACGAAAAGCTCAATCTAAAGCTGCTAAATCTGCAGTGTGTATTCCCTCACGCCAACGCTCCTTCACCCTCTTACCTTCAATACTAAGTGTTTCCTGTCGGCAGCTGGAGACAGCGTCCCCCACATAATCCTCCTCTTTGATCTCAGTCACAGTAATTTGGTCAGACAGCGTCGCTACGGACTGCAAAATAGAAAAAGTCCAAATATTAAACTGTAGTTCAACACAGCAACATCTTCTGTGACAGCAATGCTTTACCAGACTAGAGCTGAAATGCTTCGTCAGGTAATCAACCTGCAGAAAATTTATCTGCAGCCGTTTTGATAATTGTTTTAAGTCACAAATAAAGGAAAAATGTAAAACCTCTGGTTCCAGCTTCTCAAGTGTGGCTTCTCCTCTAATTATAGCACTGTAAATTAAATATATTTGGGTTTTGGACTGGTGGTTGGACAAGCAATTTGAAAAGTTACAAGTATAATAAAAAAAATATTGTTGATGTGATGTGTGTTGTGTTCACATACATAACAATATTCTATTATTATTATTATTCCCAAGTGTATTTTTTCCCACCAGTATTTCCTTGTAAAAACATGTTATACACATTTATAACCTCAATAACATTGTTGAGACATGCATCTACACACTCCTCAATTACTGTTGCTTTTCGATGTGCATAAGCAGAGTTTTTAATTGCACTATTAAGAACATGTATATTTTTGATGTAACCTGCATATTACCTGCTTTTCTTGCCTTTGTTTATAGCCATACACATTTAATACCTCTGCAAACCTTCCTCTTACTTTCTCAGAGGACTGTGGCGAGTCTGTGACTCTCTCCAGGCTGTATGGGTCTCTGTCTTTCCACAGATTCATACACCATTCTTTTCCAAAGATCCCCTCTATGGTGGGAGGTCCAGACTCTGAGGAAAAGTCGAACAGTAAAAGTAAAAAGGGAAAACAAACCAGTAAACACAGAAGCAATGCTGGTACACTCTGTTTAAAATCCTCTGAGCTACTGTTACTGGGAAACAACAAGTACCATAAGCGTCCCCGTCTCTGAAGCAGACAGTTTGTACACCTACGCTGCGATAACTTTTACACAACTTGGAGGCGTCGCTTCTCACAACCGTCAGCTCGCACTGCAGGCTGTTCACTTTCTCTGCCAGGGCTGAGTTTGCAACCAGCAGCCGAGACACCTCCAACCGGAGCTCACTCGAGTCTTCGTCCACCAGTTTGCAGACCTGACTCAGGACAGACTTGGCCATCGTCTCCATGATGGAGGAGAGCTGTGAGTGAAAAGGGAGGCGGCTCGCCATCGCTGATGTGGGCTGTAACGACCCTCCTCACCGGCTGAAGGAAAGAAAGTATTAATACAATGAAAGGAGCGAAACTGTCAGTCTATTGGGAAATGAAGACATGCATCAGCTGTGGAGCTAATGGAGCTAATTTGAGCGAACTGTTCTTAGCGGGAACCAAATAAATGTAGCAACGGTGACGTGTTTCCGGCGGATGTAACCGGTCAGCTGCGTTGTATTAGAAGACTTCCTGCTTTCGCGAGTGAAACCGATGTGTTTTTCTCCAATAAATGATTGTAAATGCAGTCGGATTTCTCGCGTATCGACGTAGATATTTCAGTAGACGGGATCCGGATCAATCGCGGCTGCGAACATGAACACCGAGAAGGACTTTTCCCCTCTGACGCCCAACATCGTCCGGGCTCTGAATGATAAACTGTACGAGAAGAGGAAAGTCGCAGCTCTAGAAATTGAGAAACTGGTGCGAGAGTTTGTGGCTCAGAACAACTCCACTCAAATCAGGCATGTTATCCAGATCCTGGCCTCGGAGTTTGCGCTTTCCCAGCACCCCCACAGCCGAAAGGGGGGTCTCATTGGACTGGCGGCTTGCTCCATAGCCCTCGGCAAGGACTCGGGTCTGTATCTGAAGGAGCTCATTGAGCCTGTACTCACGTGTTTTAATGACTCAGATAGCCGGTTGCGCTACTATGCCTGTGAGGCCCTCTATAATATAGTGAAGGTGGCCAGGGGAGCAGTGTTGCCCCACTTCAACCTGCTGTTTGATGGTCTCAGCAAGCTTGCAGCAGATCCAGACCCCAATGTGAAAAGTGGATCTGAACTCCTGGACAGACTGCTGAAAGACATTGTGACGGAAAGTAACAAGTTTGACTTAGTGGCGTTTGTCCCCCTGCTCAGAGAGAGAATCTACTCCAATAATCAATACGCTCGGCAGTTCATAATTTCCTGGATCCATGTTCTAGAGTCTGTGCCAGACATCAACCTGTTAGACTACCTCCCTGAAATCCTGGATGGGCTCTTCCAGATCCTGGGAGACAACAGCAAGGAGATCCGTAGGACGTGTGAGGTGGTACTGGGAGAGTTTCTGAAGGAGATTAAGAAGATGCCCTCCAGTGTGAAATTTGCTGATATGGCCAACATCCTCGTCATCCACTGCCAGGTGGCAGACGAAACAAAACTCACAAACGACCTGATCCAGCTGACGGCCATGACCTGGATGAGAGAGTTTATCCAGCTTGCAGGCAGAGTGGTGCTCCCCTATTCCTCTGGCATCCTAACTGCAGTGCTGCCCTGCCTTTCCTATGATGACCGAAAGAAGAATACCAAAGAAGCGGCCAGTGCCTGTAATCACAGTCTGATGAAGCTGGTCACTCCTGAGGACGATGAGGACGAGGATGAGGCGAAAAGCGGGAGTACAGGGTCGCCATCTAGGGAGGACGGCCAGCCTAAGGCGGAGGTGGACAGCAATGATATGCTGAATGCCTCACAAGAATCTGTTGGTTTCAGTAACATCAGCGTCTTCACTCCAGCAAGTGCTGACAGGCCCCAGGTAACTCTGGACCTGGATGGTATCGTTCAGGTGTTGGACCGGCACCTCCACGACTCCTCCACTGGCATGATGACACGCATTGCTGTGCTCAAATGGCTCTACCACCTCTACATCAAGACACCACGCAAAATGTTCCGCCACACAGACAGCCTGTTTCCCATGCTGCTGAAAACACTGTCTGATGAATCTGATGAGGTGATACTGAAAGATCTGGAGGTGTTAGCCGAAATAGCATCATCTCCCGCCGGCCAAACGGACCAAGTCAGCTCCTGCGACGGTGCTGAAAACAAACTTGAGCTCAAGGTCCCGGAGAGTGCCAAATCTGGACAGCAACCCAGCACAGGCTCCAAAGCAGTGGACTCCTCCCCCTCCACTCCCAGTATGAACTCCTACTTTTACAAGTTCATGATCAACCTGCTGAAACGCTTCAGTCTGGAGAGGAAGCTTCTGGAGAACAGAGGAGCTTTCATCATCCGGCAGCTCTGTCTGCTGCTACACGCAGAGAACATCTTCCACTCCATGGCTGACATCTTGCTGAAGGAGGAGGACCTCAAATTTGCATCCACCATGGTTCAGACACTCAACACCATCCTGCTCACCTCGGCTGAGCTCTTCCAGTTACGCAACCAGCTGAAAGACCTGCGCACTCAGGAGAGCTGTGCTTTGTTTTGCTGTCTGTATCGTTCCTGGTGTCACAACCCTGTGGCCACTGTGTCGCTCTGTTTCCTCACGCAGAACTACAAACACGCCTACGATCTCATCCAGAAGTTTGGAGACCTGGAGGTGACCGTAGACTTCCTGATAGAGGTCGACAAGCTGGTACAGCTCATTGAAAGCCCCATTTTCACCTACCTGCGCCTGCAGCTCCTAGACGTGGAGAACAACCCTTACCTGATAAAGGCACTGTATGGCCTGCTGATGCTGCTGCCACAGAGCCAGGCCTTCCAGCTTCTCTCCCACCGCTTGCGGTGTGTCCCCAACCCAGAGCTCATGAGGACTGTGGATGAATCCAAGTATATGGACTCTAAACAGCAAGTGGCCTCAAAACGTGCCTCTTACACTCAGATGGATTACAATGAGCTGCTCCAGCATTTTGACCGCGTTCAAAGCAAACACCTGGAGGTCAGACACCAACGCTCTGGTCGTGCCTCTGATCATCCCGACAGGAAGCTGATGTGAAGTCATTGTGCCATAGTGACCTCTGGCCCCTGAGGACAGCAAGAGGGTGGGGGGGGAAATGTTAACCCCAAGAACAATATATTTAGTTGTACTGGAAAAGATTATTAAGATGCTATGGAATCCAAAAAGTAGTAAGTATGATTTTGTCTTATCAGAGAAGCACTGGGTATACATTGTCAAAAAAACCACTGATGCATTTGTAAATGTCTTTGCTAATAATGAAGAGAATGTTATGTAACATAAGAAAAATATTTAGTACAGGTCAGACTATACACAGGCAAACACAAGTTATAACTGTCTGTGAAGATTTGAAGGTTGTACATAATTTCTCATACATCATAAATTGTGTAAATTGTGAAAATATGACCATGTCCCGAGTTTCCATCATGCCCTGTCAGCAGCTGAGATTTGTTCCAGCTAAATGAAATGACATGCATTTCAGTGTTAAATATCACACTTATATATCCACGTGAACCACAGTATTTTTCTGGTGTATCCTGTTGAGCGGTATAAAATAGAGCATGCATTCAGGGTTGCCTTAATCTCTTGTCAGACAGAAAAGAAAACTCACGTGTAGAGTATTGACCCAGCTCAACTGAGATTTTAAACTTTGGAAGCTATGGATGACTGAACTCTGGCATACATTCTTAGTAGGCCCATGTTGTTCCACCTCCATTTCTTAGTGCCGTTGATCAGAAATTTAATGTTACACACCTCCAGCTTTTAATTCAATGACTTCCGTATATATTCTTCACAAAATATGTGTTTCTCTTTGTACAGTGTCTGTTCATCTATTCTTAAAAAGATTCATGCTTTTGTCAGTCCTGTGTCAAAATCAATAAAGTGGGACCATGTGATTAAAAATTAATTTTTTTCAATATACATATATATATCATAAAACCCATGTCATTACAAATACTGGTTAAAAGTGTGTGTGAGGGGAGGAGAAGAAAGCAGCAGACACATTAGTGCTACTAATGACCCATGTCTGTGTTACATCCTGCATAACCTGCAGCCACTGGAAAATGGTCTAGTCGATATTTTGGATTTATTATTATAATTAGGCTCATTACACATCAAGCTCCAAATGTCCACTAATAAATCAAGTTTACTTCTTTAAATTGTGTGAATGCATTGTGTTAACTTTTCCTATAGATTTATATTATGATTATGAGCTTATAATACAAAGTTGTATGGCTTGTGATTTTTCTTTTTTCTGAATAGCAAAAATTGTTTTTTTTATCTGTTTTAAATACTTATTAAACCTTAAAATTTAACTGTACTGACAATTATATAAATATATGTAAATTAAAAGCAACTGTGTTTAAGACTTAGTGTTTTTATTTAATAAGAAGCCACAAATATTGCAGTTAAACTAACTGAAGACTGTGTTTTCCCGATTTTAAGGACAAAGAGACATATAAATTATACAATATTAAGATAACCTCCACTGATACCAATGAAACTAGCTCATTATATAGCTCATATACTGTATCACTTTCCACCATAATACCACATTTTATGTTTTTTCATGCATCCTTCCCAGATTTTCATTAGCATGCTGTCAAACTGAGCTGAAAACCTGCCTTTAATGTGCGCGTTATTTATGGTGAAACTAGATGGGGTGGGCTCTCCCTTTATGCAGGACCATATGCAGTTAAACACGCGATACATACTGTACATACAGTACAGAGGGAATATAGGTCTGACTGCAGGGTAGAGACCCATCAGTGCTGCATTGAATTTCACAGATGGAGGTTGACATCTCATGTCAGGGTGTGGACGAGTCCTGCTGCGCTGTGTGCAATCAACTCTTCCTGGCTCCAGTGGTCCTCAGCTGCATCGGTTGTAATTTCAGCTTTTGTAACTCTTGTTTAGAGCACTTCTGGCTACAGCATGGCACTAAAGAGTGTCCTCTCTGCTTTAAAGAGAACCTTGGACTTCCACATAAATCATGTGAAGCACATGGGCTGAGACTGATTCTCCTCTGTGTGGCTGATCTGGAGCCTGTCTGCTCTTTGTGCCACAGATCAGGCCTGCATACGAATCACAGAGTATATCACATAAAGGAGGCATTCACTGACTGTAAGGTAAGCTGATTAAAAATTAATTCTATTCTTCCTATTTAAATGTGTTTAGCATAAATGTGACAATAAGTATATCTTTGCAGTTTAAGTAACCCCACAGAAGCATCAGAAGAAAATGTAAGAAAAATGTAAAATATAATCCAAATATGGATACAAGGGTCATGCTTAATGTATCTGTAGGTCAAGCGTGTAGGTTATACTTGAAGGATCTTTAAAGTAGAATGATTTTTCCCAAATTGGACCTAGAAAATCTTGCAATGAAAAACATGTTATAAAAAACGTTTGTTTCACAAGGACTCCCTGCTCCTTCCCATGGGCTCACTAGACTGTCAGCCTCCTCATTATTTCTGTTTGCCTCTGTACGAGAAACCTACACACACACACACACACACACACACACACACACACACACACACACACACACACACAAAATGTAAACTGACACAGCAAAGCAATCCATCTGTATTTTCCCAATTTATGTCATATAAACCATTTAACAAATACCCGGAGAGCTTAAATTTATAGCCTGGGATTTTATTTGTTCAATCACTGGAATCAACCTGCCTATAATTTGAAACAGGCATCTGTAAGGGACAGGACACAAAACTCTTGCTCTGCAAAGATAAAAAATTCTATTGTTGTTTATTTAAGCCTGTATGAATATTTCTACAACACTACAAACTATTACAAAATTAGGTTATCGAATAACAAATCTTTCATTTGATCAACTGATACTTGCTCATAGTTTCCGTAAATTGAAGTGAACAATTGAATTGTGGAGAAACTAACTGATCTAATAATATGCAGCATGTCCATATTGACAAATGTTTTAACATTTATATTTGTGTAATCTAACCAGTTCAGAACTCACTCAAGCAGGCAACCCGGTGGGCTTTAAGAGGTTTTATACATTTGAAGAATTTCAATAAAATCCAGACCAGGCCTCTAATTGAGACTTGTGTTTATTTGTCAAAATGTGTAGCCACACCAGGCTAGTAAAGGGGACCTGGTATGATCCTGCTTTTAATTGACGTTTTACAGCATATTCGGTCTAATAAGCTGTGGTTCAACAAATGAGTAATTTGAAGTTTAAAACAGCCATTACATTTGGTTTAGTTCACCTGCTTTAACCAAAACAGCTTTTCAACCATAACTTTAAATTACATTGGAAAATTGTTGTTATGAAATATCTATAAAACTGACTTTAAATAAAGGAAATGCACATTAAAAGTAATATCTGGTATCTGTCCAGTGACCACATGCAGACCCACTGCTAATCTGGCATGGTCGTAGTGTGTACACGTGTGTGTGTGTGTGTGTGTGTGTGGGGTGGGGTGGGGTGGGGGGTGTCTGTTGACTGTTACTATCAATGGCTCTGAACTGCTGCCCTGTTAATAGGGACACAAATCAAATTTTCATTTTGGCATCTCTACAAAATCACTCTACACAGAATGCATTCAAGACCAAATTACTCTTATTGGATGCTTCAACTGTAATTTCTATAATGCTGACATAGTTATGCCTTTCTGTGATATGTTGGAAGGCTTCTAGTGGACCGTAAACATACAAATACAATTATTCGTCACTTCATTATTCTAAAACTTAGCAAAACAATATCTAAAGTAATGTCATACAGAATAAGGTTGCTAATTTATGTAACCATTAACAATAAACAAAAAAATCTTCCACCTGCACGGTTTAAAGCTGACTGTGAATCCGAGCACAGCATGTGTGAGATGTAAGGACTACAATAGTGTATTATACACAAGAACTAAAGCAGCACCGACCTAGTGGTTTCTAATGGCAGGGTTGTATTCCCCTTCTATCTCTATCCCCACATTCCTGCCCTATTTTTGGCACGACATTGATTCTAGTAAACTAACTCTCACAACAAAATACTGGATTACAGTTCAAACAAGGTCAGCTTACTGTGAAATACTTTTGGTATTAACAAATTACCCTTCAAGACGACCATGCTACTATGTGCATACCTTTCACTTCCAATACCCTCTATTTGCCCTTAAAAACTATGACAAATGAACTGTTTCTTGTTTTATACAAGAAAATTAATTGACTCTATGATATTTTAAAAATAACCATGTGTCAATTCTTAAAAAGCTGTTGCATGAGCTAAACTCGACAGTGGAAACTGTTCCAGTGGTCAGCAGGAGGATATTTCTTTCCCCACATAACTTTAGTCCAAATCGGTTACTTCTGTCTATTTATATCCTCACCCCAAGTCTTATTTTGGGCATTGTTACTCTGTAAACTCTTTCATTACACTGTGACAGGTTGTTTCAACAGACTTCTCGAATAACTAAGAGGTGATGACAGTGTAACTCTAATCAAAAGATCATCTTTAGTGCAAATACTCTATCATCCCCACACTCTCTTCTGTCATCCTGGAGTTATTCACGCTACTATTTGCTCTGATCTGCGCAGATACAGTCTCTTAAATGTAAAGCCAGTTCGTTTTATTCTCAGGTGTGGTGTTTATTCGAGAACGCGCAATGTGCATGCTCAACCCAACACTGTATAACACGGGATATGCCTTTGGGAGCTGAGGTATTAACACTTATTTCTGAGGTTAAGAAGAGGTTGCCTTCCAGAGGCGTGGGAGGGGTCTTGGATCCTGCCTGGTCATCAAAGCCCTGTGAGGAAAAATGGCCACCAGACGTGCTCATCTTGAGGATGACCTTTCCTGTCCAATTTGTGGACATATTCTCAGTCTGCCAGTGGTGCTCACTTGCAGACACAGATTCTGTAAAACCTGTCTAAAAGACAGCTGGGAGACACAAGGCAGTGGGGATTCACACCACTGTCCTCTGTGCTGGCGCCGCTCCTCCATGGATCAAATGGTGGTGAGCACTCTGCTGGAGAGGTCCTGTGAATCCTTCAAGCAGGACAGAAGCAAGAATGATCCAGGGGCTTGTAAGGAGCATGGAGAAAAGCTCACACTGTTCTGTTTGGAGGATTTGGAGCCAATCTGTGGTTTGTGTGGGAAAGCAGCTGCACACATTGGGCACAGGCTATATCCCATTGGGGAAGGTGCTCATGACTGTAAGGTAGGCAAGTTAAAGTTACAGGGTTTGTGTTTCACATTGGTAACACATTTTCATTGTTTGAACTGCATATCTTCAGCATCAGCTGCTTGGGAATAATTGCATAAAAACTTCTATCCTCTGTTTTATTGTTGATGATTGCAGCTGGAACGAATGAGGGTTAAACATCTATTGCAATATCTTTAATTTTATTCGGATGATTTGATGTATGTCTTCATAGAGCAGTACCTTAGGTTAATTCAAATGGGAAGATAATTCACTTAATTGACAATCACAATGGATTGACTTCACTGATTACAAATAAGGCTATACAGCATTTCATGAACACAAGTGATACCTTGTACCTGGACATTATTTTAACTGACAGCTTGTCAACATTTAGTTGTTTATGTTTTTCACTGGTTTTGACTTTTATTTTCCTACTACCTTTGTGCCTCTCTAAGCCTGATATGCTGATATGTGTGAAGGTGTTGGCAGAGTTCATTAACATTCTAATAATAGACTTATATTTTTGGTTTGCTGTTGCCGTTGGAGTCCTGAGAGAACTGAAACTCGACTCCCACAAGGTTTCTGTGATGCCACATTCATTCTACGCCTGCCCTCCTCTCCCCCTAGAGAACAGGAAGCCTTGGGTTCTAATGTGAAATAGATCTATTGGTTACTGTATTGTGTCCCTGTTTTGATTCTAAGTTGCATGAGCTCAACTTTGTTTATGTTACCAGGGCATTAGACCCTTTTCCAAAGATTTGTCCCTTTACTTTGATGCTGCTGTATTGTGCCGCCTTGCATTTTCAGGGAATACTGTCATGGAAGAGTATGTGGCAGCTGTAAGCCCCGCATTGTGTGACAGCTTGGCCACCTGCCAGACTGACCCTGTTTCTAAGTGCTGATGTCCTGTCATTGACTTTATAGGAGGAACTGAAGAGTGCCCTGCTGCCTTTGAAAGAGAAGTTGCAGCTGTATAAGAAGGCGAGAATGGTCTGTGAGGAAATGGCAGAACATGTCAAGGTACTGTCAGGTCCATCAGTACATCATCTTACTTTGAACATACTAGGGAGCCAAGGTGTGGAGGCAGTGATTACACATCAATCATGTCTCTTTCCAGAACCAAGCTGAGCATACCGAAACACAGATCAAAGAGGAATTTGAAGCCCTTCACTGTTTCCTGAAAGAGCAGGAGGCTGCCAGACTCTCTGCTTTAAAGGATGAGGAGGATCAGAAGGATCTGATGATTAACCAAAAGATTGAGGAGATGAACAATGAAATTATATCTCTCTCCAACACCATCAGAATAGTGGAACAGGAGATGAGATCTCAAGATATCCCATTTCTTAAGGTAGATAACACTATTGCTTCAGAAATGTTCTTACAATCATATGCACATCACTTTGTGAAAGTGGTTCTCTTCATTTGTGTTTTCAGAATTACAAGGAAACAATAAGGAAGTAAGTGTTAATGCCACATTTAGCACCCAAGCTTAATTTATGATAATACAGCTCAACAATTCTCTACAATTAACTGCTGACATATATTTTCAGAACCTGGCGAACTTCCCCAGATCCTGAAATGATTTCTGGTGCTCTGATTAATGTGGCCAAGCACTTGGGCTCTCTGAAATATAAAGTGTGGGAGAAGATGAAGAAAATAGTTAAATATAGTGAGTTCCTCAAACAATAACTAGTCACATTGTATTGATCAGCTATTTTCCTGACACATTAGTAATGCATACCTCTTCTCTTTTCTCAAGATCCTGTGATTCTGGATCCCAACACAGCAGCTAGCTGCTTCATCCTCTCAGAGAGTCTCACAGTTGTGCAAAACTGTACCCAGAATTTCAAACTGCCAGACAACCCAGAACGTTTCGACATTAGTGCTGAGATGCTGGGTGCTGAGGGCTATTCTTCTGGACGCCACACCTGGGATGTGGAGGTGAAGGACAACACCTACTGGGTGTTGGGAATAGCCAGTGAGTCCATCAACAGGAAGGGCAAGCATGTGCTGACACCAGCAGAGGGATTCTGGTCTATTAGGTTTCGCAATGGAGAGCATAAGGCCTGCACAGCACCATGGGAGCCACTGAACATGAAAAAAAATCCAGAAGTGATAAGAGTAGTTTTGGACATGGACCGAGGCAAGGTGACCTTTTATGACCCTGGAGAGAGAACGCCTCTCTATACCTTCATGAATGTCATCACACCCAGAGCCTTTCCTTACTTTTGCACTGCTTGCAAAGAGCATCCATTGAAAATCCTACCCACAAGAATATCCATGTCAGTGGACCCCTAATTTCATTAAACTCATTTTGTTTTTCATTTTTCTTTTGCAAGAGTTGATGGTGGGTAATAACTGCTTTTTAATTTTTTTTTAATCAATAACATAACAAACACTGGCATGTTTTAAAATATTTAATTTGAGTTACAACAAAATGTAGTCTGGGAGACCTGGAATTGAAAATAGCTTCACAATCTTTAACACCTATATATATATATTTTTATATATATATATATATATATATATATATTTATATTACTACAAGGATAAGATTTGTTACATAAAACGAGTCACCATGTGTGACTCAGCTTTGCATGACACAAAATCACTACTGTGATTTCCAATCTTTTGAGCTGTTCCCAAAAAAAGCATTAAAAAACTGAAACGTGGATCTGAAGTTTCATTTAAGGCACATACAGTAACTTTTGTGTATTTGCAAACCCGTGCCACTGTACAGAGGTTCAAATATGACATGTGAGATTAGTTTTTCATTGCATTAAAAAAAAAACTCTACGGTTAGTGTTTGATCTAGTTGCCACATGTACTGCATGTTGAAGTCTTTCAGCCTGATCCAAACACACAGCAGTAACTCCATAACTTCACACTCAAGTATTGCTTACCCTACACAGAATTATTCTTTGCAGCATAAATGGGTATATACCCTGTAACAGTTTGATGTGATACTACTCCTTGCTGTCCTAACCACATTACTGTAACATGTATCCTATTTTAAATGGACTGTGGGAGATACCCACTCTAAGTGTAATGCTCAAAGGCGTTTTGAAGTGTTCATTTAATAATTAAAAAGAAGTTATTAAAAAGGGAATAAATGCCCTTCCATTATGTCCTGGTGTGTTACTCATACAGTGTTAAAACATCATCTGTAAGAATACTCTGCCTATGTAAGTAGTCCTCTCAACTCTGTTCCCTGAAAAGGTCAAAATCCAGGCAGGTGGTGCACCAAGACTGACTGATCCCGACATCTTCTCTCAACAGCATCTCTTTAACTGAAGCACCAAGACTGCCCTGCTATGGCCTCCATGTCATAGAGACATTCTTCCCTCCGCTATAGCACTGTATAGCTCCTCCTCTACAGCCTCATAAAGCGCAGCTCTAGTGTTCAAAAAGTAGATCTGATCAGTGGTGAGACGTGGGTCGTATCCCTCCCTCTGTAGCCTGGTTTTCTGGATTTTAAATGTACCTAGGCAGGAATGTGGAGATACATAAAATAGATTATGATGTATTGACATGAAATCAACTGATGGTTAGCATGTTTATGAACTCAGGAGGGATATTAGGATAGTTTACCTGTGGTGTCTACATGTGGGGAGATTCGTAGGAACACAGGGCGAGCATATGGAGGAAGAGCTCTCTGGACTTTCTGGAAGAAACTGTTGCTGTCAAAGGTCCCTGTGGTGTCTGCAATGGCAGCCATGCCTGCCTTACCTTCCACACCTGGTGTGACACAGAGAGATAAATGTCAAGTAGTGAGTACAGCAAAAAGGAAAACCCCAAGATGATGTTGAAATAACTAAGTATATAAAGTTAACCATCACCTGGAACGGTCACACCATACACAGCTACATCAGTCTGACCCAGAAGACTGCTGAGTATGCCCTCCACCTCGGTGGTGGAGACATTTTCTCCTCTCCAACGGAATGTATCTCCGCCACGGTCACGGAAGTACATATATCCCAGTTCATCCATCACCAGCACATCCCCTAGTGTAGACACACAACTAATTCTCACATTACTGAGCACTGACAAAGGAAGCTTGGCAATCCGACATTAACTTATTTTTCAGGGTTTCAACTATAAAGTTTTGGAAACTACAAATAAATGTATCTTAAACACTTAAAAGACTAAAATAATGAGCACCGAAAGCTGTGTTGAGTGTTATGATGCAACAGCAATACAAAAATATGTATTTTGAGAAATAAAAAAGGACAGGTAACCTGAAATATATGCAGAATCATTTTTCTTAAAGACATTGTGAGCTATCTTCTTCCTTGTAGCATCCTGGTTAGCATAGCCATCGAAACGCCGTAATGGGTCCTGCTGATTGATACGACCCACCAGAAGCCCTGGCTCCCCTGCAAGACACGGAAGAGTCTAATGGAGTGCTTTCAGATGATCAACACAGTTAACAATCACATACTACACCGAGCCAAGTCATTATTGTAGTATTAGTATTAATTACCAGGGCGGCAAGGCACACAGAGGCCCTGGCTGTTGCGAACCAGCTCCATGCTGTCCTCGTCCACCCTCACCAGACGGATTGGGTACACATTGGGGAGAATGCGACTGTTGAATCCACAGGCTCCCACCTGGCAGGACAGAATTAGCTAAACTATGATCCAATTCACATTTTTTATCAGTGATGACACCAGTAAGACTGATTGCTGACCTTTCCATCCATGTTGGCAATGCTACAGTTGCACTCAGTCGCTCCATAGAACTCGCCAATCTGTGCCACCCCAAATCGTTCTGTGAAGGCCTCCCACACACTGGGGCGCAACCCGTTTCCCACAGCCAGCCGAACTTTGTGGCCTTTTTCTGATGGCCGTACTGGCTGAGACAGGAGGTAGCGGCAGATTTCCCCGATATACTGCACCACCTGTGACGGGAAAGCAAGTATTGTTTCAGTACTTGTTCAAAATTAATGTTATTGATTTAATAAAATATGGCACTTCTCAATATTTTCCAACCATAAGCTCTTACACTGCAGTTATGCTTAATGCAATCTTCCCAGAAGCGGCTGGCAGAGAATTTCTTCTTCACTACCACAGTGAGTCCTTGGATCAGACACTGACCAACTCCCATGATATTACCTGGAAAGAAGAGACAATTAACACTTAATTTATAAAAACCTAAAAGTGTAAAACGGTATTAATCAAGAGCTGCTGGCTACCATCACATACCTGCAGAGTGATAGAGAGGCAGGCAGTCATAGATGATGTCATCAGAGCGCATGCGAAAGGCAAAATACCCAAAAGCAGCAATTCTGTAGTAACTGTCGTGGGAACACAGGAGAGATTCTCAGATCGTCTATCATTAGCGTTGCAGCAACTGTAACAACTCTGGGGGGTGGTGTTTTATTGTGAGTAACGTACCGACTGTGTACCACGATGGCAGCTTTGGGCAGCCCTGTGGTGCCGGAGGTGTATATATAAAATAGACGGTCTGAAGAAGAGAATAAAAAGAGAGCATTATAATTACACACTGTCCGTTCAAAATCCACACAGGTGTCCGGACAGCGTTTCAATCACTGCTGGAATGCCATCAGTGAACCCAAAGAATGACAGAGCAGAAAATATAGTCACTTATATCCCGGGCAATACACACCTCTAGTTTGTTATGCAGGGCATATCTTGGGCTTGCAACTTTAATGCTGACGTACATGTTCATTCATCCAAGACAGATTTACCGGGGATTTGTTCAGGGATATGGTTTGTCATTCAGTCCTCATCTCAACAAGTTATTCATACCTACTCCAGACAGATGTCCAGACAAAGAAAATCTTTCTTGGTATTCAAAGTGACTCAAAACTCATATTAATAATGACTTCATTTTACTTTAATAACTGCTTTGTGAAGCAGTTGCAATTTGCAACTCAATTCACATAATTACTGGGAAGCAATTTCAGTTCAGAAACTAGACAGCAGACAGAGGAAAAAATGAATTACTATGGGACATACACTTTCAGAATTCAGAAGAGAGTAAAAAAAAATTTTTTTTTTTTAAAAGTTTATCAGCCAAACACAGTATGAGAAAAATTGTTTGTAGAGGGTATATTTAAAAGGAAGCTCATTAACATACAGATTCAGTCTTAGAGAGAGTCAGAGTTGAGTTCAGGAAGAGGTAAGATACTCACCATTCATGCCTTTGGGGGGAACACAAGGTGAAGGGGGATGTCTAGATGCAGACGCTAAAATTGGGTCCAGAGGATGAGCACCCAGACGGGCCAGATGTTCTGCACTGAGGTCTCCTGTACAGAACTGTACCATGGACTGGCTGAAGGAGGAACTGACCTCCAACATGGCTGATATTCAGTGAGAGGAACAAAAGGAAAATGGGAAGAGGAGACACCAGTCAGGTCTGTTGAAGCTCTCAAGTTTGAATAACGTACTGAATAATGAAAACATTCAGCAAACACAGTTGACATGCACACAGACACAAGTGGGACATTACAGAAACTACAAAAGACAAAGGAGTTAAGGGTTTGTGTTGTAATAGAGAAGGAAGAGAATCAAATGTTAACTAACTTCATAAAAGAGATGACATAGAAGGAGTTTTACAGGCAATGTGATCACCGGCAGCATGTCCTGACCACATGACATGTTGGAGACACAGTCATTATCACAGTTTATGTTCCACACACACAATGAATACAAACGTGTGACACCGCAGCATGATATTCTCACATGATGTTACACACAAAATGTTAATCAAACATGACATCAAATGTGTTACTGAGGCTGGTCCTTTTGCTTGCAATGACAACACAATTATCTGCTTTTTTAAATAATTGGTTGAATATGAGGTTAACATATTATGCTGTAATACAGCACTGATACAGAAAAAGCTAAAGCTAGATCCTAATTTCTTGATCAGATTTTCCTACCTTGTTAAACACATTCTTACCATCAGCAAGCTCAGCTCCAAACACAATAGCCCGTGACCCAGACACCCCGATACAGTGCAGGAGGGAATCATTGCGGAGGTTGAAGTTGATGAGTGCAGCTTCCACCCCAACCTTGGCAAAGCCCAGCCAAAGGGCCACCTGCAACGGCCTACTTTCCATAAAGAGGGCCACCACATCCCCCGAGATCCACCCCTGACCTCTTGCCCAGTGGGCCACCCCATTAGACAGCTCATCCAGCTGTGTGAAGGTCCATGTTTCCCCCGTGGCCTCATAGATCAGTGCTGGTTTATTTGGGTGGAGTTTTACTGTCTGGGCGAATATGGAAGGAACATTACTTCCATTACGCATGTAACGCCACAAAGCCATCTTCACTCTCAACAGCACATACAGGCCACTGGTGTGCGTCAGATGAGGGAGAGAAAGAGGAATTAGTAAGGATGTAGACCCACAAGCAACGACAACTACTTGCATAAACAACTGCAGAACCATATTTAGACATACTGAACTTACTTGAGGTCTCTCTTGGCAGTGCGTGCTGCAATGTAGAAGTATTTCCAGGTTCTTGTGCCCAGATATACCCCAAGGCCTGCTGCAAGACTCCAGGACCAGGACACCCCAAAGAGACGCAACAGTCCCATGGACCCCAGAGAGGCTGAGACACTCGCCGCATTGTGCATTCTTGTCATGGAGGAAATGGGAGAAAGATGGGCTTTTGTGATAGCCTACATGGGTTTGGACTCAGGAAGTTGAACTACTGGAGTACAGGCTGGCACAGAAGTACAAACAATAAAATGTTGTTGTTTTTTTTAGGCAATAGCCTAGCTAAAAACAACTGAGAAAGCTCAGAGCAGGATTAAAGCTAGCATACATCCATCAGCTAACATTTAAGCATCGCACATCGACTAAACTTCATCACTCTCCGGGTCACATGAAGAATCATCGTCAACTTAAACGCATCATTTACATCCATGTATCGCACACAACGTACCTACGAGGCAATAGCCCGAAGCAATGTCACCTTTCACCCGATAACCTCGCCGGTCGACTCAACTTGTTACTTAGTTACTTTCTCGGAAACTGTCGAGTATTCAAATCTTCCTCCGGATGTCGAGAGTGTCGAGGAGATTAACAACGTAGCGTTTTAGAGAAACCAGGAGTTTGTACGTGTGTTTTTTCTTTCTTTCAGTTTTACAGTTCACGGCTCGCCAGCGCGGTTGTTAGGTTGGCTAGTAAATAAATGGCGTTCAAATTATTTTTTGAAATATGTCAAACGTACGTGAGCGAGTCCAGTAGGCTGGCATCTACGGGCTGAACTTATAATGTGTTCCCGACATTCAAAAGCAACGGGAAACTGATTGAGAGCAGTGAAATGCAGAGTGAATCAGGCTATTTTCTGTACTCCATATTGAATAGAGTCATTGCCAAAGAAGCACCGCCCACCTCGGGTGTGAGCTTTCCTCCAGCAGCTCAGCCATTTGTTCAACTCGGCGCTTGTCAAACTTTTCTCTATTTTAATTGGACAATGCAAACCCCGCCCAGTTTCCCAACCACCAGATTTGCAGGTGCCTCCTATTGATAGTAGCACCGACACAGACTACTAACTAAATGTTGGGAAATCTTGTGAAAGTCTGTTTCCATCCCATAGTCACACTGCTGCTTTGTAGACTCTCGGCTGGCTGAATATGAGACTCACTAAGCCTGGTTGAAAATAACACAGCAAAGTTTATTTTATTTTCTTAACACACATGAAAGAAATAATTTATTTCAGTACATAAGAGACAAAAAGTTCAAGAGCATTCTCATTGCAGACTGAGAGCCCGCATGCGTGTGTCTGCACAGAAGTTATTAGCTGTCACTATGGGTTTCTGTGTGTAGAAAGCAGAGAAAACTCTGAAAAGCACTGTCCTCCTCAGTAAGATGTAAACCCAAGGGTCCAAGATCTGATTCCAGGAGGCCATACGTAAGCCCAGAAGAATAAACCCATCATTCCCATGAGATGAGTCTCTGGAGCTTTGGTTGAGCTGCATCACAAGAATGTGGATCTATAATGAGAAACACAGAATCACTCGAGGTGTAGCTCTTACTTTATCAAAAACAATATTCTTAAAAATACCTGACCACAAAAGGTGAAAATTGAAAAAATTCTGCAAACTAAAAGACTGGTACTCACAAGAAAGGGGCTCCAGCATACAGAGGAAACCACAGTGACCACTGCCAGTTGAGCCATCATTTCCACATCCAACGAACAAAACAAGGAGGAAGACGACGCAGACGATGCATGGCGCGTACAGCGAGCTGCTGATTTTGTATTAACATCGTAGGATTTCATTCTGGCGTGCAGCAATGCCAGACCACTGACAATGTTGCAGAGTAGGGAAAGAGTTAGTGCAGTGAGGCCCAGACATGAGAAGGCCAGAGTCAGATTGGTGTCAGCTGTAGACTGTGGGCCATGGATAGGCAAGAAACACCATGTCCCAGGAGACTGCGTAGTGTAAGTCCCCACAGCAAATAAGGGTAGAACTGCCAGCACAAGTGCAACAGAGGACAGAAATAACACAACTCGCCACACATGAGCAAATGTGATCATGGCAGCGTGGAAAAAGGGCTTGGTGATGGCCACACAGCGCTCCACTGCCATGGCACAACCAAACAGCAAAGGGCATAAGCCAAAAAACACCATACTTGCCCCAAAGATCTGACAGAATTCCTTGGTGGGTTTCGTGGCTTGCGGTGTATGACGTCGATCCATGTGCAAATACAAAGCAAAGGCGCCTGTGATCACATGGCCTCCCAGGTCAGCCAAAAGCAAAGCCACTGTCAGTAGCAGAAATGGTGATTTTGATTGGCGGTATCGGACACGGGCCAAGATTCCCAGAGCAGTGAGGTTGGAGATGGCACCAAACGTCATGGTAAAGCAGGACATCCCAAAACCTGAAGATTTGACAGGTGACCAGGTGCTGCTGTTCAGCCAAGGACTAGGTTGTTCAGAGGAGTTTATGTTCAGGGTCTGGGGGAGGATGGACAGCGTAGAAGAGGTAGAAAATGAAGTCGTGAGTATAGACGATGTCCTCATCTTCAGTGTCATCTACAGAGAATTACAGGAATTACAAAATTCTTCCATTAGTTCAAGCATAGCCACTGAGTGACTTTTATGCTGTTTTTATGCCATCCCCTTATGCTGTCTAAAAGGTCTCTCAAATAATTCATAGACAGGGCAACAGAGAAGTCTTAAAACATGCTTTACTGGGTCAATGGTCTGTCAATGACGCTTGAGATTTAGACCTTAATTAGAAAAGCTACTGGAGCCCAGGCAATAATAAAGAGGAGTGGATGAAACCGTGCCAGAGTAGTTTTTTAGTGTTTTTGGTCTCTACCTATCATGCAAGTACATGCACAAGTGATTGTTTAGAATACATGAATAAATGCATTCTCACAAAGGCAAACCTTCATAAACGTGAAGATACATGTGAAAGATCAGTGTCCAGCAGTTGGTTTATGTCAGTGTGTCTTATTTGGAAGATATTTTAAGGATTGCGCAGGGAGTTTTTGTCTTAATTACAATAGACAAGGAGAGGAAATATCCAAAAAATCCTATGTACTTTAGACAAGTGTATGCCCTGAGGAGATGTGGAAATGTAGGAAACTTGTGCCATTTCCGCTGCATTTATTTGGTCGGTTTGCAAAACAGGATGTTCTTCTTTCGACACATCTCTTTCCACTCCCTTAAATCTCTCACCTGTCATAAAACTACCTTGGTCATTTATCTTTTGTGAAAGCTCACCTTTCCGGCTCCACAACTCCTTGCTTGACTGTTTTCCCCAACTCATTACTCCATTTCAACTGCTAGTATTTGGTTTCGGTTGAACTGTCACAATGCCATGAGTGTGCCACAGTGTATATGCCTGTGTTGCAAAGAGAGTTTAGTTTTAGAATTATTTTAAACAGCAGTCTTGCTATTTAATATTTGATGGTTTTAAGCTTTAACTTGCAGGAAGGGCCTATTTGCATAAGCAATTTTCATTCTATTGTGATACATCATGCATCAAACACTAGGCTTGATATTTAACAGGTCAATGGATCCCCATGCTTCTGAATGATTTTAATCTCACAGATTTTCATAGGTACATGGATGGTAACCTTAGAAGAGCACTCCAATGGCAAAAGGTTCCAGGAGCTGATGTGTCTTTATTTAAGAAGACAAGAAAGAGTCAAAACTGCAGCTAAATTTGGTTTGGTTATTTTCCATCTTCTGGGGAGATAGCATGCCCAATTGAATCCTTTGAATCTCGATACCTATCTGCTTTGTTAGCATACTCCACATAAACTGTTGAGGTAACAGACCTCTAAAGGTTTAAAAAAGACCACTCGGAGTTTCAGAGAGAAAGAATAAGCTCCACTGCTTCTCATTGTGTCCACACCAGTAACAGCTGATCAAGCAGGCCATTTGTTTTATCATCTTCTATTCTTTTCCTTTTTTCAAAAATGTGTTTGTTTTTACATTTCTTTTTGTTACCTCCCTCTTACTTCTTCGATAGTCTGTGTAAGTTCATACAGATAGGCAATTTCCCTGGAGAGTGTGAGGAAATTACGGAGGAACTGCATAATTAAATAGAACCGGATTCAGGTTTGGGAGGATTTTATCAGTAACAAAAAAAAGTTGTCTTGTTAAGTTTGATATAATTTACCATGGAATTTATGTAACAAACTGGACTGGATCAAAGCAATTACTGTGTTCTTTAAACAACACAAAACATTTCACAGCAATTCGGGCATAATAAAGGAAAGCCTAGCTGATCTCAGGGTAGTGTTTCTCCTGCCTTTATCCGTGTCTTAAATACCTTAATCAGGACTCTATTTAACTCCTCGCGTCTCTCATTCATAAAGAAAGTGTATTAAATAGATGAAATCTATGAAAAATCTTTGCTTTCTTAGAGATCAATCTCTTTAGTCATGTGTTCCCTCTATTTTGCATATATTTAAGCTTCACTTGGACGAATTTGCTACCACAGAAGAATGGACTAACTATGTTATCTATGAAGTAAATTACCTTTAAATGGTTATTAATAATAAATGAAACTTACCTTCAGATGACTCCGGATGAACACTTAATTGTTTTGAATGGTTCAGATTAAATAAGATAAGACAAATGTGTCTCTCGTCTGCAGAGCTGCCCGATTTGCCACATTCAGTTATCACTACTGTTGCAAATTATTTGCTCTTGTTCTCCTCCCTTTCTCTCCCCCATCTCTCCTGCAGTTTCTCTTTTCCCTGGTCCGACTGTCTCTCTCTCCAGGGGATTGGCAGCTATTTTATCTGCACATTCTGGACCTGCATTTTCCATCCTCCTTCCTCCTCTGGATGTGTTCTTTCCATCTATTCATCTCCTCTTTGAACCAGAGGGGATCTCAGCCATCACTTTAATTTTGTAGTATTGATCCAGTGCTAGCTGAGTGCTAGTTGAACAGTGAAATAGTGAAAGTCATTTGTCATGGACGTTTTCTCATTTACTTTCTCAAATTCTCAATTATCTAATTGCCTTAAATGAAAGGGATTTGAGTTTGTTATTCAACTGGTACCATGATGATTATCACCCACTGTCAGTCACATAAACATAGCACAGAGACGGACATCAAAGGAGTCTGAAAGGGCATGATGATGATTAGGTGCCTCAAGGGTTTCTGGTATACTTAAGAGGATCCTTTTTTGGAAGAATAAGATACTCTCATTCCACACTGAATATTATCCCGACAGATATTTAAGAATATTTTAGATGTAAAATAAACCCAGACCATAGATATAAAAGTACCAGTTTTGAGACTTCAGAGTTGTTTGTGAGACCATCATGTCTGTATCTCACACAAAGGGACGGAAGGGGAGATTATGTTCTGTTTCCTCTGTATGTATAACTGTTAACATCTTTCTATCTTTTCAATCTGCCAGTTAAGTATTTCAGCAGTAACGAAAGACTTATGTGGCAGAGTGTTGAAATGAAGGTGGAAAGGAATAGAACTTTTTCACTCTTAATTTAATGTCTTGTTGTTATGTCTGCCAAATGGGCTCTGACATAAAGAACTTGCATTTGTCCTTTATTCAAAACTGATTTATCCCATACTTTGAATGAAATAATTCAATGTCAGTGATGAGAAGACTTTAAGCACAAGGTACAACAGAATATTTATTTAATTAAAAGCTTCCAGGAGAGGCATTTTCTGAACATTCAAGTTTTGAAACATATTATCTGAACTTGGTAAATAAAAAACTCTTTTCAAATAGTTAGATATAATAGATTTAACATAGTACAGCACACTGAATGGAGCAGGAATGCAGTCACAGAATACTACAGAATTGCCCAGCAATATATACACACAAACATACATTTGAAATACATTTCTGTCTCATAATTGTCCTTTTGTTGGCCATATTTAATTCATATCAAATTAAATGTGGTGGACAACTTACACAGGAAAACAAAGTGCCATATTACCCGATAAAACAATTTCTTTCCTCACATGAAAAAAATAAAACTAAATAAAATTTTCCAAAATGAGTGACATTATTTCCCATTTATTTACTCCACAACAATGAAAGTTGGCATGAAAGTAAAGCACACTATGGGTTTTAATCATGTATCATAATTATAACAACCAACAGTTCCATGTCAATAGCTTAAAATGCAAAGACCAACTCAACAATGAAACAGTAAAGAAAACGGAATAGAAGGATATTAATAACAACATTTTATAAAGCAAACTGATGCACTGGCTACAAATGGCAGGGCAGCTGGCCGTTTGTCTGAGATGGCACTCTTCAGGAAATAAATCAGACTTCCACATCAATGTTTAACTCCTCAGATGTGAGACTCTCCTGTGTCCTGGGTGCTCTTGGATGCCTGAGGGCCACAGAGGGGAGAGACAAGCCAATCAGTCACGACAGACACTTTCAATACTCTTTCATTATCAGGACAGGCTCTGTTCTGCCACCAACAACAAGCTTCACTTTACACGTCCTGTAATACCGTACCATTAGTGAGCAAATTACAAAATCTTATTTAACAAGCAGTAATGATAATATTGTTTTATGAAAATATATTTGCCAAATTAACTAGAAATAGATATTATACTGTCACATTTCATTCAGAACATTGCTATGTTGCTTTTTGATTAAATTAGTGAATGTAAACTGTAACATTATTGGATAACTTCACCGTCATTCCACCTGAATCAGAGAAACAAAAATACAATATATATAACCGCTTACGTGAGCTTTGCTGGAACTTGAGTGACTGAACTCTGAGTAGCTCTTCTTCCTAGGTGCACAGAATCTGGACAGGATGTTTCCATACTCTTCCCTCACCTACAATCAGAACACAAATTGAGTTTTGACACCCTAAAAAGCAGCAGAGTTTGTTCTTTATTTGTGAGAGGAGTGTGACCGACCTGTTTAGAAAACAGACAGTGCATGACAAAGAGCATAACGCCCTGAAAACTGCCAAAGATGGTGAACAGGTAAGACATCGTTATTGTGCCCTCCTCGAACTGGAAACAACCAAAGATCCACATGGTGCCCAACACGCACAACTGAGCCACTGCAGTAATGGTGAACGCCCTGCAGGTGGCAACAAAGATTCACACAGGTCAAATCTGAGGCACTTTAACAGGAACAAGCTTACCTTTCAAGGAAAGCGCAGTGATATAGACCACGTTATTTCATACTGTAAACACATGCTCACATAATTGCACACATTCACACCTCGTCCATGCAATACACACATACAGCATACGTGTGTGTGCCTGATGCACAGTTGCAGGCTGCTGGTGGGTTAAGCTGACTCACTTTATTTTCTGCAGATTGTCCAAGTCGGGGTTTAAACTTGAAAACTTCTGTGCCAACTTCCACACAGTGATGAGAAAGAATAAAATGTTTACCTGAAAGGCAACAGAGATGAGGTTTTTAAAAAAAGCAGTGAAGTCAGTTTTAGGGATATGTTTCATCTCAATAATCATTTTCTTACTTACAATGATGATGACACAGACAGGGCCAAAGAAACTCCAAATGAATTCCAGGTCTAACCAACAACTGCAATGCATATTGAGAGTTTAATGAGAAGACTATGTGTCAACATAATCTGGGATTCGGGTATAAATTAAAAATAAAACAAGGTCAGCATCAGTAGAGGGAACTTACTGTCTCTGAGTGCCATATCCCTTAGCATTAGCTAAGGCAGAGATACTGACAATTACAGCTGGGACTCCATAGCCACCTGCCATCATGTAGAGGGTTTTGAAGTTGGTGTTAAAGACCAGGACTACCATCCTGAACAATTGTATGCCCTCCAGACACATCCAGGAAAATGCTGCCAGGAAGAAGAAATGCAGCAGTCCTGCCACCACTGCACAGCCAGTCTAATGCAGTAGGGAGAGAGATGAGGATCAGGATGACAGCAGTGAAAAAAGGATAAAAGATACTGAGAAATGGGGAGAAATAAATAGGAAGAAACTACTTGCTGAATTGTTGTTTATAAATCACCCACATAAATCATTCAGTAGCTGTGCAAGCTATTACGGAAGCATTTACCCGGTTCTCTGTACGAGAGATGCCTGCAAGGAAGATAAGCATGGCAATGAAGAGGCTGATGCAGAGGTGCAGGTGGATGGTGGTTCTTGGGCTTTTGATGGAGCGGATCAACGAGAACGTCAGGATGCAGATGAACAGGCAAATAAGTGAAAGGGACAGACCCACCCAGGTGATCAGCTGCAACTCGAACTTGTGCTGTTGGGGGAGAGAGGGAGAGAGAAGGGTTACATTACAGGACACAGAGACGGATGGAAGTTTCAACTATAAACGCTATATATCTTTAATGTAGGTAACTGAGAGCTTTAACCTCCATCTCATAGAGTGCCATGAGCACAGCAAAGCTGCTCAGATGGTTGCACGAGCACACAGTGTATTCAACGTTGGACTCCACCACACTGCAACCACGAGCAGACCATGCCCCTCTTTCCTCAGAGGAATCCCAGAACACACAGATGTGGTTAGATTTATTTAACTGTAAAAGAAAAATAGAGGTGATAACCATTATGGAAGTAATATTATCCAGCAGGAGATTTTTATCCTTAGTAACAAACGATATGCTACCTGTTTCAGGTGGTAGAAAGTTAATTCGACTGGCTCTTCGAGGTGCCTTGTGTTTCTGTTACTGACAGTGACAGTCACGACTTTAGAGTTGATCTCAAAGCTTTGGTTCTTCTGTGGTTTCATCCCACTAAAGTATCCATCTGCAGAGTCTTTCAGGTTTGCATAGCTCAGCAAGGACACTGTTGTAAAACCTTTTACAATCAAAGCAGGACAACATTGATTAAGTGGACATTCATTACATTTGTAGGTCATCTAAATCTTAATTAAAGAGGTTCTAAATTATAGGCATGATCATTACCAGGGTAATAGGAGGGATCTCCAGCAGCTGTCTTCATCTGGATGTTCAGCTGAGCTTTCTTAGATGTTAAAGTCACAGGTCCATGGGGTAAGTCACGGCCCTTATGTACCAGCAGCTCAAGCTCTGGACCCATACAATACAAAAAATATCTTTTTTATCAACATGCATTGCGTGTATGTTAATACTGTAGATTACTTCCACTAAAAAAAAATCCAGAATACCAGCTGTTGAATTTTTTTTTTTTACATATCTTTGCAAATAAGAAACCAAATCAAAGAATAAATTCAACAGCTTCACCATGTAACATTTTATAATTAACCTGTGTGAGTGGAGGATCTATTTGCCCCAGGGGGCTCAATTAAAGGTCCGATGAGCCTCAGTGTGTTCTCCACCATATCCAGAAAGGTGGAGACTTTCCTGTTATCCTTGAAGGCTCCACCGGACAAGAGCTTGTCGATCATAGACAACAGTCTCTACAGGCACAAGAGGGCAGGGGGAGAGGGAGCAACATAAGCATGTGCAGGGAGACACAGGAGACAGTCAGACTGAGGCAGACTTTCAGGCTGCATACCACCTCAGGTCAACATAAACAGTCTACAAAGTTGTGCACAGACATCTGAACACCATGTGACAGAGCCTGAAGGAAGCAGAACATCCTATTTCTATGCTAGTTGTAAGGAAGTGAAAGTTTATTTGATCGTCAAAATGCATTTCACTGAATATATGTGCAGAAATACCGTTAGTATGTCCTCTCCATCCAGCTTTGTTGGATTCTCACTTTGTGTAAGCTCCAGACAGCTTTTTTCCAACTGCATCACAAGATCATGTGCAGCAGGAAATTTCTAGGATTGTGAGAATGAAACAGAAGTATAAGGCAATATACATTTAAAATAAATGTTGAACTGTGATGAAACAGTTTCAGTTGTAGCTTTACCTCTTTCAGATAGTTCATATCTTTGAACACATCACAGTCTAACGCTGTGGAAACAGGAAGTTTTCTTGCATTAGATGTGCTCGCTGACTCTAGCACTCATATCACTAGGAAACCTATACTCATATGTTCTGTTTATATATTTACTGAACAAACATTGGTTCAGTAGTGGAAAAAGTTGAGTGTTACTCTGCCCTTACCGATGCAGCGAGACCTTTTGTTGCCATAGTTAGTGAACCCTGCATAGCATGAACAGAAATGGCCACTGGCTCCACGGTGGCAGGTTCCATTTCCACAGATTGTCTTATCAATCGTACATATGTCTGAAATGGAAACAAATCAGGGAGTGGAAAATGGTTACACTGTGTGTTTAAGTCAGTGCTAATGGAACAGTAAATACCCTGAATATCCTAAATATCCACCAGAACATTCATATCCAAAATGGTCATTGATAGGTGTTTAAAGATAATGCATAAAAAACACAAAGCAGACCAGACAGAACCAAAATATCAACCAGGTGTAAACCGACCAGTTCTGGTATAATCAACTCTTTAAAAACAATGAAGAAACAATACTGTAAGTACCACGGTACGAACTTTCACCTTTCCACCGCCTTTCACTTACTGCCTCATTTTGAATTTTGACTGTCATCGGAATCATTATTGCAATAACGTATTGGAGAACACCAAGCTAATTGTGATCCTGAGTTTCACCTACAGTTCATAGAGAAGCTATGCATCAAAAAATGCCAAGAGAAAACAAAAACACCACATTTTGTACAACTACTGTATATGCTACAAGAATCCATGTGTAATATTCACTGCAATCATACATATGTATCATCAATATAGTGATAACTTCTATTTTACCAAAAAATACACTTTAGTTATTTTATAAAATCATTTAAGTATTCACTACATACATTATTACATACATTATCAGTATGTAACTGCAGATTGAATGGTCTAGTTTATAAAACAATGTGAGACTAATAACTAGATTAAATAACTTAAAATAAAAAAATAATAAATATTTTGCAGCATCATGTTATAGCTTTCACCTTCACATTGCTTTTGATTGCCAGAGGAGATTGATTTGCCAGATTTCAGTCCAAAGCCATCATTACAGACACAGTCATAACTTCCTGGTGTGTTGGCGCATGTTGCATTCTGACCACAAGCCTTTTCATCCTGACATTCGTCAATATCTATATGAGCATGCAGAAGACATTTTAGAATAGTTGAGAAAGGAAACCATCACTCAGCCATCAGTGTTTTCTCACCATAAACACATAGAGCTATGCAGCACATAGAAGAATAATTATATACAGCCTACCACAGTATTTTCAGTGAAGTTACTGATAAGCAACTTACCTCTACATGTCACATTGTCACTGTGGCGAAAACTTTCTGCTCCATTTGAGGAAGTGAATCCATCATCACAAATGCAGGAGTAATGTGGAATTGTGTTAAAACATGAGGCATTAGATCCACAGATGCTTGCATCGCCCAAACACTCATTAATATCTTAAAGAAAAAGATAAAGACAGGACTTTTATATTTAGATAAGGAATGCAATAAAAATAGAAACAAAGTCTCTGCCATCATTGATAATATACAAAACACTTTACCTTTACATGTTGCAGATGTTTCAGCTGAAAAAGTCACAGTCCGTGTTGATGAAATGAAACCATCTTCACATTGGCAGTAGAAGCTGCCATTTGTGTTTAAACAGATCGCATTCTCTCCACATGGTCCAATATTATCAGGATAGTAGTCATCAACAGCACATTCATCTTCATCTTAATTTAGGACACAGGAATTAAAAAAAACAACAACATACACATTCACATAAATAAGCGCTTGATAAATAAACATTTGAGATGGGTCTAAAACTAATGGCCTGTAAGTTAAAATATTTTAAGTGAATATTACAGCAGACTCAATTTCAAATGCAATTTATTTGACTTCACAGAAATGGTTGTATATTATATTTAGTTTCTATTTTCTAAATGCAACGATGAACAATCTATGATAACCAACCCATACAGGCTACCACATGCCTGTTTTTGCGTGGTGGGTTATGTGTAAAGATAAATTTGCCATTTTCATACCAATGCATCCTTGCTTCCCAGATTGAAATCCTTGAGGGCAGGGTGATGTGACTGACAGGACCGTGATGAGGGCGAGATACAGAGCTGAAAAGCAAGCAGGCAACTGTCAATCTAACAATTCATCACTTTCTGAATCTTTTACTTTATTGACTGAAAGGTGAGAGAGAGAGAGGGGATGACGCAGCAAAGGGCCACAGATCAGACTCTAACCCATGGCTGCTGCAGCAAGGACTCAGCCTTTGGTATGTTTGCTCTACCAGGTGAGCTATCGGGGCGACCCCACAACATATGCTACATTGGCACCTAGGCCTTATTTACACTAACTTTTATTTTAATTATTCTAAGATATTTCAGTGTAGCTGCAGGAACATAAAATGATCAACCTGACACACAAATAACACCAGAAATGTTCTGAGTTTTAAAAAGGTTCTATTTGAAAATGTGAATGCCTTCATTCTCTACCCTCATTTCCTTACATTGTTTCAACAGCATCTGCACCATAATTCAACATGAACACATGGGTGACTAGAGAACTCTGCTTCCTATGCGTCAGGAAACATCAGCTGGCATGGCAAACACAAAATAGCATTACATTCTCAGGCTTTAAGAGTGCAGAGTCAGTCCTCTGTGGTTGCCTAAACAACACCAGATGGATATAATGAACAGCATATGGAAACAGGAAAAAAAGGTTCCAGTTACCTAATGTTTTTCACTGTCAGTGTATACAATACATTAAGTATAATCCTTAAAATAAGCATATCATTAATGAATTAAATGTTCAGTTAATTCATATCACAAGTAGCTCATAGTGTATGAATATCACTTTAAAAGCAAAAGAACAGAGGTCCTCTGTACAGAGGGGCACAAATAGTGGTTTGTTTGAAGAAAAGTTGCTCCTTCCTGTACGCTTCAGGCTCTGACTGCTGCAGAGAGATTTGCATTAAGGACTGTGAGCTGTGACTGTGATAAGATTGCCGGCAGATTTGATTTCAGTATAAAGTTGTTAAACAAAGTAATAATAATAATACAAAATAAAAAAAGAAATAAACATTATTATGTGATATAGTTTTAGTTTCTATTTATATTTGTTTAATTATGTAATTGCATTTCAGATTTCTCTGAAAAGCACTTTGGTCAACATTACGTTGTACTACAGTATAATGTAGGTTTTAATACTAAAAATGTCATACAACATCTGTTTTTGTCTGAAATTTCACTGACTGTAGATTTTACCGTACACAGTTTTGTTTTGCTTTGTTGTTGCCTTGTTGATATGGAAAGTGTTTTGTATAGATTGACAAATCTAAATAAAATCATATAAAAAAAGCACACAACATTTTAAAACTTTATCAGCAGATCCTTTTCCCTTCAAACTTCTCTGCAAAAGTATAACAGATGCGACTCACTCAGTATCAGAAAGTCCCACCTGCCCACCATGGTGACGAGGAAACACTGTCCAGATCTGTATGAGGAAGGTTAAAACAAGCTAAACACAGACCTGGAAATTCTCTATATTTAGCTGATACAGGCCTCTTCTTTTTCCAAGGTTGTCCCACTTGTTTCTGTAACTTAAAATACGTAAAGAAAAAAAAAAATCTGTATCCACCAGTCAAGTAAATGGGTGTGGAAAAAGTAGCTACAATATCTGCTGATACCAGCAAATAAAATATATATATATATATATATATAAAAATGCTGGAATCAGTAGTCTGTCATCTCATACAATGACCTCTCCTTTCTCTCCCTGTCTCTGTCTCCTCTGTCTCTTTCTCACCCTTGAATCATCTGCTCTCACTACTGAGGTGACATGCTAAGAACACTATTTTGTGGGGGGGTCTCTCTCTCTCTCTCTCTCTCTCTCTCTCTCTCTCTCTCTCTCTCTCTGTCTCTGTCTGTCTCTCTTTAACACTGCACTGATGTTTGTAGGGGAGTACAGCTAGGAGGAACTGTTCTTGTTGGGGTGTGGTAAGTGAGTGAAAGGAAATGACTGTGCCAGCTGACTCAACTCTATTTCCATTAAAACAACGTGTCCCTAAACACCTAAACAGTGTTTTTGCAAAGGTAATTTCTCTCTGTAAAAGTAAGTAAAGTAAAAGTGTCTGTCTGTCTGTCTGTCTGTCTGTCTCTCTCTCTCTCTCTCTCTCTCTCTCTCTCTCTCTCTCTCTCTCTCATCTCTCTGTATCATTCCCCTTTGCTGTTGGTGGTTAGGGGACAGACAGGGGGTCCAGTGGAGTTAAGAACATGAGACTGGTCATTGTTTTACAAAGTCCTGCTGGTGGTTATACCCTCCCATAGGCAATTTTAGCACTCAACTGACTAACTATGGTGATGACATATATATATAGCTTTTGCCTCTGAGTGCATCTGTGTGACACAATGTAACAATGGTAACAATTTTTTATTTAATTTGGAAAGAAGTGAACAAAGAACAGAGCAGTATGCCAATATATAGGCTATGTAATTCCCCATTCCCTGAAGGCAGACCCATTGTACGTCTTTTCAAGGGCAGATGAAGCAAATTGGTTGGAGTCATAATGATGAACAACCAAACTGCAACTATAAAGATAGATCTCAAGCATACATTTTTGAAAGTCTCTGTCATATGAATGTATTGTCAGTAAGAGGAAATAGAGTTCTGAGAAACATCAAATGTTCTTTTTGTCACACACATTTTGATGTTCACGCCTGGGTCACACGGTTCCACCCCGCAATACCTACAGTGGTAGGTTTTCAACCTTTTTGGTGTCAAGAATCCTCAAATGAATACACATTGGGCCACAGACCTGTATTTAATAAGATTAAGTCCTAGGGATCCCCCTCTAATAAGATTTAATTATTCCATAATTGTCTATACTGCAGAAGTCCAGACCCCTGGTAGAGAACCCCTGGGTCATACCAGTTCAAGATATAAAAATGTGAGGAAATGCCAAAATACTGTAAGAATTTACAAGAGCAAACTAATGTAACAAAACTAATTGTTACATTTTCAGCAACAGTTTTTGTTTCCAGCTCACGGCAAGGTCATTTTCAGGTCTGAACACACTGTCCCAAGGCTCACTGACAGGCAGGGTATTACATTAATTCACACTTCTAAACAATGAGGTGCTTTTCAGGCCTAGGAGGTGACAGAGAGCATGCCTTCAGGGACTGTACAGCTGTGTTAGGGGGCATGCCCACACAGGGACCTTGAAATGTACTAACATTAGAATGACCTATAAAAAGAACCTGTCTGTAAAAACGCCTATATGTGATTAAAGGGAAACTATATCACTGTAAATGACACATTTGTTCCACCAGTCATCACCAAAAAGATTTCTGGTGTACACATACCGATAAACACAGATAACAATAAAGTGAACAGTAATGGATAGAGTTTTTAATAATCTTGGAGAATTAAAGTAAGTTGTTAATTATACAGATATTACTGTAAGAATCAAAGGGCTCACCTTTAAGCTGGAGAATTATTCAACACCTTTAATTATTTATTTATGCCCATAAAAAAGAGACAAAAAGAAAAATTCACACACTTTCGACTCATTTTAAGGTAACAAAAACACAATAATTACTATATTCAAGTGATTATGAATATGAATATTATATTCCTGGTAGTAGATCCTACATAATGTCACACACTGGACCTTTAAAAGGTGGCTGAACAACAATACGACACATGCTGTAACTCTAAATCACTAAGACACCAAGCATCACTTTTATAAAGACCGTATTTATTTACCTCACAAAGAACAAACTACACTTTTTCTCCACATATCAAACATAATCCAGGCAGTTATAGTCAAGTCTTATATAAAGGCAAAAATGTTTCACAGTATTGTTAGAAAATTGAACAAGGGATGTGGCCGCCTACTTAACCCTTGTATAGTCTTCAGTTCTGGGACCCTCTGGTATCCCTCATGTCAGATTGACCCGGAACATAGTTGGGGTTTTAAAAACAATTCTGAAATAAAATTGTACCTCATAACTCATTAGCATATATCTTTATCTCGGTTTCAAAGAATTGAGATAAAATATATGTTTAATGATTGCAATCAGTCTCTACTAGAACACTGACATAAGGTTATAATTTTAAGATGTTAAAAATCCACTATACTCAAGACTTGGGTGTCATAATTCATGCTTATCTTGGTAAAAATGAATGAAGACCATTCAATCTGTCCATTCTTAGACAAATATGTCTGTGGGGCTCTTCCAGTGGCGGGCTCTTGGGCTGCTCCAGCGGCCGCCTGTGGTGCTCTTTGTGGTGCATATTCCGAGTGAAGGCCATCTTCAAATTAACTTTCAGAATCAGACTATAGAATATTACGGAGCCCCTAAAGGGACATGGAAAAAAAAAAGAAAAAAAAGATCACTAGATGATCACTAGATACCGATCTAGTGCGCACTAGAAACGTAATAATATGTATATAAATGTAATATATAGCTTCTCTGTACTTAGATTATGATAATGAAACATTATCTGCCTAGGGCGCCACCTAGTGAGGGGCGCCAAATATGCGGCGAGAAAAAAATTAGAATTAAAATTATAATGTCTATTTTTTTTTCAACAGTTTTTGCCATCCCTCTATCTACAACAATTCTTTGACATAAAAAATAAATTAAACTTAAGTAAAAGAAATGACAGTCACAACATGCTAGCGCGCAGTCGGTCGGCTGTGTGTCGACGGCTTACTATGGTTACAACTACAGTCCATGGAAAATGAAACAGCAAAAACCATCCGGGCGCGATTTTACGAATCCTACTATGGCCATGCCAAGTCCCGCCCTATGCCTACCTCTGATTGGCTTACTTCCCTCCCCCTTTCCTTTTCTCCCCCTCTGCTCTGATCCTAGTGTCTGCCTTTTCCCCTGTCTTTCTTTGTTGACCTTTGTTTGTTGTTGTTTGTTGTTTGTCTTTTCAATTCTAACCTCCCCCACTCCTTGCCCTAACCCTAACCACTTCTCCCCTTGCCTAAACCTAAAAACCCTAACCCCTCAGCCAGCCCTGGACCTTTGACCCCTCAGCTCGTTGAGCTCAGCCAATCAGAGGTAGGCATAGGGCGGGACTTGGTGTGGCCATAGTAGGATTCGTAAATTAGCATCCGGGGCGCACTTTCGAAAGCGCAGAAAAGAAGAGCAGGAGAAACGTGCACAAGAGAAAGGCACGTCATTTTGATTATATATTTATTAAATTCAGCGAGCATTCATCATATAATCATGCTAGCTGGCAGTAGCATCATGTCATCTTACTAGTAAGCTAACGTTAAGTACAATGAGGGTGTGTGTGTCTTTTCGAGAAAAACACTACAAGTTGATGCTAGCTACAGTGTATAGCACTTTGCATCTCATTGTGTGCTATGAAATTAAAAATTGAGTGGATGTGAAAAGTCTATTTTTACTGTCCATGTAGCAAAATTAGATTAGATTCAGTTTTGGATTAGTTTTAACTTTACTGTCAAGTTCAAGTACCGTGAAATACAGTTTGACATCCAACCAGAGTGCAAACTAGTGACATGCTGAGTGAGTCAGTGCCTCATCTGCAGATGAGGATATCAACATGTGGACTTTATAGACAGAGGTGCAAAAGATGAGCATATGTTATATACTGATGAACAGAGATAAGTATAAGTTACATACTGATGGAATATTGTATCAAATAAGTTGAGCATAATAATAATAAATTATACATACAGGTAGAGTTATGTTTATGGAGAGAGGTATGCACATAGAGCTGTGAGCATATAGGACTAAGGCTGTGTCCGAAATCACTCACTACTCCCTATATAGTCCACTATGATGGACTCCCTATGTAGTGACTAGGGAGTAGGGAGTGAGTGAGTGATTTCGGACACATCCTAAGTGAATTTATATCAAAATAATGTCAAAATTAAAATGCTCTGCAACTTAATAATAATATCATTTGAAAAATGGAAATGATTTACTCCATGTTGATAATACACTTTTTTGTTATATCATTTTAGATTCACTATTACAATATTTGGGACCACCTGCAGCTGAATCATCAGACCAGAAACAGCCATGCGCCTCAGCTGCTCCAGTTTCCTCAGGTGAGTTTAATGTGTCAGTGTATGTTTGTGATGATAAAATGGTATTGACTTATGTGAAAATGACAATATGTTGAGCCATGTCTCATCCAGTCAATGTGTTTGCTCTTGTGTGTTCTCTCTATGTTTATGGAATTAATGTTTTATTGTTAGTTTAATTTTTTGTTTTGATTCTTTAGTGTGCACTTTTTGTTCTCAGATGTTGCACTACTGTTAAAAATATGTTTAAAAGTTTATTTTTTGTATATTTATTATTGAGCAGGTTTATTATTTTGCACATATTGTTATATTGTTTGTATTCTCATTGTTTAAATAAATGTGCAATTCTTTGGACATGAGTTCTTTTCTCGTGGGGATGGGGCGCTATCAGTAAAGCTCGCCTAGGGCACAAAATGGTCTAGGACTGCCCCTGAGATGTAAACATGTGGGGTATAGTAGCATGTGTTCTCAATTGTTTTTTTGTTTATCAGAGAAAATAAGCTAAGACCATTGAGTTTCAGGTAGAAAAAAATGTATACTTATACCATTTTTCCTCTTGTAAAATTCAATTTGACCCGAATACCATACAAGAGTTAAAGCAAGTGATGTCACCGGCTGACACATATAATGCACATCGTAGCCAATGTCAGGCTCTGTGCGCTGCTCATTTTGGGGGGAGGATATTATGATCACTCCCCAATCTAAATTGTGCTGAGGCTGCAAGGATTATTGAGGTCAGCGCCCAGATACCAAATGTCTACTCTGTATACTCTGTATTCAAACTATGATTTCCACTTGAGTCGGCTAACTGAAGTATAGTGTTACTACAGCTTACTTCTTCTTTTCAAAGAGTGATTT